AAGAAGATAGTGGCATCATAAAATGCCCTAAGGACAATAAAACAAAAAGCGAGTATAAATTTAGCTCTTTTCTTTTCAGGTCTAGTACCTTTTTCTTGCATAAGTCGGTAAAAAGTATTTTTTGCTGAGTTCTCACTCTGGCACTGAGCATTCTCTTTAAAAATTTTTGCACCATTTACTTATACAATAAACTAAAACTATTTTTAACGACCTTATAATTTTCTTTGCGGTTTCTGTCACAGTTACTAATTAAATAAATATGCATTTGACAGCGATTTGTTGTTAATTATAAAATCTTGTGTAGTCAAAATAAAATGTTTAGCCTCATGGGTAATTTTGAAAAACGAGTTCTCGAATGTTGTTGTTTTTTGTCTTACATTTGGTGTCTTATATTTGGTTACATTTGGTTCTTTTTAGTTGTTCTCTGCTAATTTAGATTTTCTTTTCTTCATTGATAAAAGGTGTTTATGTTCCCTCTATTTTTGCCTTCCCCTTCTGTTCTATTATGTACTGATTTCGATCTTCAACTTTTTTCGCTTGATTCGTTTTATAATATATTTTTTTAAAATATTTGTTATATAATTTTATTTTTTAAAATACTAAAGCAATGCATCTTGTTTTAACTTTTCTTCCCCCTGTTTATGCTTTTATTTTCGTTTTTTGAAACCCTGATTTCCTTTAATAAGCCTCTTTCCAAAGGCATCATGCATACGCATTTACTTCTAGTGAAGCTCAAAATAATTCCTGTATTTATTTACTCATTGGAAATATGTGTTGTTTTTAATAAAGGAATTTTTCATATTTTCTGTTGTTACTGCAAAACTGAGGTATACGGGGCATTAAAAAGGATGACAATAGTTATCAAATGCCAATTCTGTAGGCAAACCGTATCTACACCTTAGAGATTTTCCTCACAATCTGAAATAGCTCCCCAGTTTTTGTTTGTAATAAGTAGGATTTTGCTGTATTGTTATTATCCCCCCCTCTCTCTGATTGTTAACTAGGTATTGTTTAGTTAAAATTATGATTACAGTTGCATAATTGCAATTCTCATGGGAATCATTTGTTCAGTTACGTAGTTTTAATTACCTGTCGATATTACGTTTATACTGTAATTGCACTCTTTTGAATTATATAATTTAGTTAGAATTAACACTGACATCCTTACAGTGTAAATAAATAGGTTATTATATTACATTATAGTTATAATTATGTAGTAATTTTAGTTATACTGTAATTGTAATTACAGTGTAATGCTCGTCATGTAATGTAATTACAGCTGCAGTTATATTTTGCCTAATTCTGCTCTAAAGCCGTATGAAAATTAAGCATTGAATGACTCAGAATTTCTCATGAAGGTAGACAGTTTAATTATACATTCATGACTGAAAAACTTCAGTAGATAAAAATATATGTAGGTATATTTCTAATCATTTATTTATGTGTGTACATCACATTTTGTACATTGAAAAAATCTGAATTTCTGTGCAAATAAAATTAAAATTTTTCTGATAAGAATTGTGACCACCCCTAATTACTCTCACATGAGCCCTGCAGTGAACTTCCATAACATCAATTAAATGGCCAAGTGAGCCAAAGGGCAGTGTAGTCATTCCTCTAATAAAGCAATTTCCAATTCTTTGAAAGTATTTGGATTAGGTATATTGAAAGAGACAGTATGTTCAAGGGCATCTGAAAGATTCTGGGTATGAGATCAGACAAATATGATGGCCATTCCATGTGAGCAATATTACTTTTCAGATGTTCATTCAGCAAGTTTACTGTGTACCGTTATGCATTTTTTAATATGATGGCCATTCCATGCGAGCAGTATCTTCACTATCGAGGTATTCATTCACAAAATTTACTGTAATAGACATGCATTTTCATCCATGAGAACATAGAACCAACTGCTACAATGTGCAGTCTCATAGTGGGACCAAGGCAGTGCAGGTTTTACATATAAACTACGCAAGCTATAGCTTAGGGCCCCTCCCCCCCAAAAAAAAATTGTCCGAGTGAGCAATTGGTCATATAAACTTAAATATACTGTAACATTATTTTTCCCAATGCTGCACTTCCGGAATGTTCCATACTCTTCACCCAATTATTTTACTGCATCTTTTCGAAGAACAAAGCACTAGTGTCTCTAGGGTTTGCGTTACCGAAAACCGGCTAACTAGTATTACCAGTTAATTATGACTACCGAAATTACTGATAAGTTTTGACAGCAAATGCCAGTAATTTTTTTAATTATTTCATTATTATTTTATAATAGAAACGGAACATATAAAATATATAATTTATTTTACTATAAACGTGTAAATTCTCCGTTGTTGCTGTGCTGCACTGACTTCAATGGTTGCAAATTGCTTTGAAGAAAGATCTTTTTCTCAGCTGTTGAGGATGAAAAATGAATTTAGAACAACAATGACTCAGGTTAAATATGTTCCCTCAGTCTCATGTGCTTAGAAAGTGACAAACAACACAGTTTATCATTTGATGATCTCATCAGTGACTTCGCTCTGGCAAAGGCAAGAAATAAAATATTTTAGTTTAATATAATTTCTTAATCCTTATAACATGTTTTAAGAGATTATATAATAAGCCTTTGTAACTTGTGCCCTTTAAAAGAACTTTTGTTTCTTTTTACCAGAATTTGCATTTTAAAGTTTTTTATGAATAAAACTGATTTTAAGTTAAAGATTTATTATTTCACTATCTATATGCTTCTTAATTGTATTTCAGTTTAACCCTCTAGGTATCTGAAAATCATATTTGGTGCTGACATATAATATCTGGACTTACAAAGGGCCCCATATCTCAAATAGCTTAGGACCTCATCATGTCTAAATCTGGCTCTGGACCAAGGACTTATCTTTGATATCTCCAAGCTGTCATTTTACCTTCTGTAAAATTGATAGGTGAGATAAGTCAGCAAGTCAGGGAGATCCTCGAAGAAAATCAACTGGCATCATTAGAATGCCATTGCTGAAGATGTGTCCATATTTCTTTTCCCGTCCCCCTTATCCTCAAGGTCCCCACATTTTTGGACATGAGGGCAAATCTTGATTAATCTGTGAAAATTAAATTAGATCTTTCAGCTGCATTCTAATAAACATGCTTGGCTACTCTAATCCTGCTCTACGGCCCCCACCAGTGGTCGAGCAGTAAAGTAACCGAACACTGTTAATTCTATCTGGGTTCGATTCTAGGTGAACAGGCTGCCTGCATGTGCGTTTTCATGGTCTATGTGTGACGTAGATATGATACTTCGTGTGTTTTGCCGTAGTCATATAAACCAAACCAGACATGTTCTGGCTTTGATGGTTAAAAGAACACAAAACTCTTAGTACCTGGGTATACATTCTTTTCATACATAATCTTTGCCCCACAGTAGTCACAGATATTGGCTTACCAATTATTATTGCAGCCATTGCTCTTTAGAGTTGATGCTGTCGCTCATTGATTACTATCAATGTAAGTCAGGTGTTCATTATCAGATGCCAAGGTGACCCTTGCATGATTAAGAGAGGTCTATAGCTGACCTTACTTTTATGGTAAAAGAAAGAAATGCAAAGCCTAGGTATGCTCTTTCCTTACCTAGTAAATTCTCATATTTCAGACCTTTAAAATTTCCTGCTATCTTATCAAATTAAGAATCAATCATCAAACGACCGCAGAATAAAGGACATGAGAACTGTTGTATAGCACATAGAATAGATGCTGATTTATGTGGCAAATCGGCTAATTCTCTGCCTGAAAAAATTTATGCAATGGTTACATTATTATTACTGTTTTTATCTGTAAGGTGAAAGAAAATCCATCACATTAATGGATTTAAAATGGTCCTTATAATCTTTGCTTCCCGCCTTCTGTTCTCACTTTGAAAGCACGTATAAGAATTGCGTTTTCAAAACTAAGAGATGCTATCTAAAAAATAATTAACAGATGTACATTTCATTCCATTATTCTAATCGGTATAGTGGTGGAGCTCGTGGCTCCCATATCCTTCGTCGCACACAGTTTCAAATATGATGTTCTCATTTTAGTAAGAACTTCATGTCTGTGTGACATGGGGGCATTCAAAATACACAATGAGCCGAAAGTCCTCTCATGTGGTTTGGTGGTAGATGCCCTGGCAATTTTCCTTGAAAACTGGGATGGAGCTGAGCAAAATAATACTGTCACCTATATGGGCTGAAGGCAATGACAGATGCAATCTTGTGTGTCTTGCGAGCATTAAAATTCTTGGACTTGTTTGGATTAGGTTAGAAAAGTGAGATAAGGCTCAACAACGACATTTTATTTCATCAAACTTCTTGTCAATGACTTACAAATTTAGGTTTAAGAGGTCAGAGAATGCGAGTTTTGTATTATAGTTTATTAAGGGATTGAAAATTCTGTTTTAACATACAGAGTGTGCATCATACTTTTGTTTTCAATGACTGATCTACCTATCATGTTGAGAAGCATGCATAGGAAGAAAATAAAATTTTGATACATCAAGTTTAACCTCCTGAATGGTATGAATAGTTTGTCATTTTTCATCTAATCATATGAAATCTGTTTTCCCTTTGTTCACATAACCATATTCTTAAAAAAATTTACCTGTTTCCATTGATAAAACTAGAAAGCATTATTATGATTTGGCTATGAATATAAGAGATACAGTGAAATTTTGTATTAATCAATGACTATAAATAATGTTTAAACATAGCATTTCGTATATAGTTGAAAAAAAGTGCTGTGACTTAAAAGGTTAAACACAAAAACGATTTAGTAGTGTCATCTGTTTAAGCTTATGAATAACTTTTTAGCATCTAGCACTTTTTTGTTATAGGGATGTTTGTTTACTTTAAAATTAATCTGTATTTCTTTCATACTTTGTGAATAATATATGTGTCTATTGTAACTGCTTTATTAGCATTGTAAAATTAATTTCTTGTGCAAGATTAGCATAAAACTAATTATATAAAATTTAACTTTTTCCCCTCCAGAGGCATTGCTACCACTCATCACACATACCCCCAACAAGCACAATGGCATTGCTTTCCTAATCATTATACTTCAGAAATTAAACCAATTCCGAATCCTGCTCATATTACTGACTTAACTGCACCACAGATGCTATTATTAAGGAAATTGTCTCTCTTAAAACTTACTACTGTCATGGAAAAATTTTCACCTTCAAGTCGAACTGGATGGAGCTGGGGAGTCCCAAAATTTATTCGTCGTATTCGCAGTCCAGATTATAAAGGTATGCCTTTTTTAATCCATTTTTGTGGATTTATGTTTGAATGTATATTTTTGTTAATCTTCCAAATTTAAAAGTAGCATTCAAAACATTTATTGCAAATATTAACATGTTTACCAGAATTAAGAATATTAGTTTGCTAGAATTCTAAATATTCAGTTGCCATGACTTTTATTGCATTCCAGGTGTTATCACAGGGAAAAGTGATCATGCAATAAGGAGATTTATGTATGGAGAGGGTCATTTGGATCATCCCTCCCTGATTAGGAGGTTAAGACAGACAAAATATTTTGCCTTGAAATAATATTTAAAAAAAAAGCATTAAAAATTGAATGCATCCAAGGAATCTTTTCCAAGCTCATAGCAAAATAACTGTGTCGTCACTATCGTTCTTCCCAAATTTTGTTACAAGTATTCATGAATTTTCAAAACTGTAGTCAGCTGTGACATTTTGCAAGTCCCTAAAGCAGGGCTCACTTCTGTCAAACTTTTCCTCCTATCTAATATATAATTGAAAAAAGAAGGGATTACCATAGTTGAAAGTATTTTTTTTTTTTTTTTTTCAATTTTTTTTTATAGGGACAGTTATTTTAAACGTTAAGAAACAAAGACCGAATCTATCTGAATAATTTACTATGATACTAAATACTCCAACTCCAACTCGCTTTATTTGCCGCGATTAACCTGCGAAATCGCAGGTTGTGTTCCGGCTATCGAACTTTGGTGCTTCTAGGAGCGCTGCAGGTAAGGAAATGCCGAACGTACGTAGTTCTCGTGGAGACAGGATAGCAGATGCAGGGGGTGAGACCAATGTCACGTGATGAGCGATAAGACATCTGGTTGGCGATGATATATAAGAGCTTAAGTATTTTTAATAGAGTAATCATAAGTCCTTATGCGGTTTCAGTATAATGAAAAAACCCCAAATCCCTTAGAAGTCTCGCTCTCATATGTTCTTTGCACAGCCCCATGCTTGCATATCAATAGAATACAACAATAACATCCCCCAAATAACATTTAAATGTTCATTCAAAGTGCCCCAATTTGCCATGATACACTAGCTTATCTATTGAAAACCATTGTTTTAAAATCTTAATTCAGTAAACTGCTATTCAATAATTTTCAGGTTTTTTTAATCATTTTTAAAAATTTGACAAATTAAATTGTTTTATAATTTAGAAATTATTTTAATATGCTGAATTCAGAAATTAATTTGCATTAGATTACTCTTAAATATAATGTAATAATAAGCAAACTTAAATATTTAAAGTGTATTTAATTTGGTATAAAATATAAATATATATTAAATACATATTTTCAGTTTTACTCAAAACTGATATATTATCATCTCTAAGGTTTTTATTGTCTTGTTTCTCCCTGAAACAAAATCATATATCCTGTACATAACCCTTGGAAGTGCATGTAAATTTTCTTTTTCTTCAATAACTTTAATTTTCTGATGATTTTATGATTAGGCATGTTTTTCTCATGATTAATTATATAAATACATGTTGTAGACATTTTAATGTTCTAAATCTTTTTTAATACTGTTTGTTATTTTTTCAGACAAAGTTGTGTTTGGAGTACCCTTACTTTTGATTCTTCAGAGAACTGGTCAGCCTTTGCCTGTTTCTATTCAAGGTGCAATTCATTACCTCAGGAAAACGGCTTTAGATTCAACAGGTCTCTTTAGGAAATCTGGTGTACGTTCACGAATACAAAAACTGAAGTCTATGAATGAAACTAGTCCAGAGAAAATCAGCTATGAAGAGCAGCAGGCATATGATGTAGCAGATATGTTGAAACTATATTTTCGAGAACTTCCAGAAGCTCTTCTTACAAATAAACTTTCTGAAACATTTATCAGTATTTTTCAGTGTATGTAGAAAAATTTCACTTTGCTACATTGTAATCTTATTCATGACATTCTTATTAGTTTTTGCTTCTACATTTTGAAATCTTAAACTTGTTCTATGCTGACACATACTTTACATGTTCCGGCCATAGGTACAGTCAAGGTTGCATAGTAAAGCATAAAATTGGCATTTTTTAAAATTTTATCAGCAGTAAAGTGCATTACAATGTGTTAGTTATTTATTACATTACAATGTGTTAGTTATTTATTACATTACAATGTGTTAGTTATTTATTAAATTACAATGTGTTATTTATTACATTACAATGTGTTAGTTATTTATTACATTACAATGTGTTAGTTATTTATTTAGTTTACTATGTGTTAGTGTTATTATTGTGTCAGATATGGTAACTGAATGTGAAGTGATGATCTTTAAAAGTTTTTGAAGATTATAAAACCATAAGTGATGAAAATCATTCATGCCAAGATAGAAGGTTTGTCACAGGGCACAGATAACACCTATGATAAGCAGTCTGTATTATGACAGTCATCTGGACATTTTTAAAACATTACAAGAAAGATTAATTTTCTTACTGTTTGAGGATGGGTGTGTGGTGTATGAAATTCTCAAATTTCTTGAGCTATCATAGAATATTCTGGTCTAGCCATAAAAAAAGGATGTGGGATTTATAATTTTTATATAATTCTTGAAGTTTTTCTGTCTTTCCCATGTCAATTTCAGTTCATTACTCACTTTTATAATTTGCTGTGAAAAATGTGGTCTTCATATTTTCTTGTTAATTCTTTTTCTGGTGATATAAAGATAGAGGAATTAGAAGCTACCTTCTCTTATAAATGCAAGATTTTGCAGCATGCTGTATAAAATCAAGAAATATATATATATATATAATATATATAAAAAAAAAAAAAAAAAAAAAAAAAAAAAAAAAAACAAATATTTCAGTTTTATAATTCAGTTCATCCTTGAACTGTGCAGATTTGAATTTAATTTAATTTGAATTTTAATGGAGAATGTTTTCTCTGTTTAGGAAAAATTCTTCTGTGATTTAGAATAAGTTTAGAAAATAAAAGCATATACATTAAGTGGCCTAAAAGTATATAAAGAAAACTTATCTTTTGTGTGCCATAATGGCATAAAATGTATGTAAATATTAATTTATTTTATCATTTATTATTATGAAATGAAAACATATTTATTATATTAGGTCAGTCCATAAGTTCATGCACATTAAGAGTATGCGTGGAATTCACTATGATGCATTTACTAAAACAATGCAATTTTGAACCTGTTGAAACTTGTCATCGTTTGAATAACATATTATTCAGTTCATCACCAACTTTTGTAAATATCGAATGCATTTTAGTACCCATAGAAGATGAATATAGATAATCGGTACAAATATGCTGTGCTACATTTTTAATTTTCGAGTGGTGAATCTGCCAGGTTTGCAGCGATAAAAATTAATAGTATACACGGTGAACACACTATTAGTGTAAGGACTGCCCAGAAATGGTTTAAAAAATTTTAAATTGGAAAAGCAGGATTGATGATGAACCCCGTTCAGGATGTTAGAACCAAATCAAACGATTAATTCAGAAGTTTATAGTGAACAACGTTGCCATCTAAACTGAAAATTGATAAAAAACACCCACGATTGGTGAATATCAAAAAAGTGCTGTTTCATCATGATAACGCTAGACTGCATACGGCTCGAACAACGCTGCAAGAAATTAGTAAATTTAATTGGGAGCTTTTGCCACATTCTGCTTACTTCCCAGATATTGCCCCAAGTGATTTTCACTTATTTCGTGCCTTACAAAATTTTTTACTGGGAAAAAAATTAAATTATAAACAGGATGTACACAATGAACTTTCAAGTTTTTTTGCATCAGAACCTGAGTCTTTCTACAGTAATGGCATAAAAAAGCTGCCTGTAGGATGGTGAGACATTTTAGATAATGGAGGAAAATATATAATTGATTAAAATGTTAATTTGTGTTTCTTAAATTATTTAAAAATTTACCAAAAATTGTGCACGAATTTATGGACTGACCCAATAGAAAACTGAAATATATGAATATATTAGTACAAAAACACACTCAAGCATCACATATCGGCAGTATCGGTGAGTGAAATGGTCTCACCATCATTGTCCATAAACCATAAAAATTAACTAAAAGCTCAGATAGTGTTATTGAAATAATTCTAAACATGTTCTGCTTCTACTATTGAAGTGAGTTGAAGAGTTGTGAGCATTTGTTTAAAATGTACTGTCATGATGCTGGTTGTTTCCACTTAATAATTGTCAGTTCAGTAAAATGAACATTGCTATAAAAAGGATCTCTCATATTTCTTTTCCTTTTTATCATGTTTATTATGTAAAAACAGCAAACCTGATATCAGTGGTCTCAAACTCAAATTGCCTGCGAGCCAAATGCACAACATAAAATTAGCTGTTGGCCAGATTTTTACCCCACCCCGGCTGAAAAAAATATTGTAAGTAAATTTTAAATTTTGTTTGCTGAATATTTATCAAAACATGCATAAACAATAATATTGCAAAGGGATAAAAATTCAAATTTATGATTACCTTTTATCTGAAATCTAAAAGTTGGTACTCGTAAGACAATTTTGTTGATTACACTTTGTGATTTAAATATACTGATAACTAAATATTAAATTCTTAGACTGACCTTTTTTAAAATTTAATATGCTTAATTAGCATAAATAATATACTTTCGTAAACTATCTTGTGTTAATTAACCAGTTATTATTAAGTCTTTACTATATAACGTCTCCTTTCTGTATTTCTTACCAGAATGCAAATTAGATTGTGTATTTAAGCTGGAACTTTTGAATCTTCTTCAGATTAGAGCTTCTGCCAGTTGCATAATGTCTTGCTGTTATTTTTATTTTTATTTATTTAATTTTATTTATTTATTTTTTGCTAGTTCTGCTCAAAACTGATATTCCAGCTTGAGGATTCTCACTAATCAATGTTTTAAATATGCAGCAATAAAATATATTTGCCAGCTTATTTTTAATCTTTTAATGTAAAGCCTTTGACTACCTTATCAGCATTTAATTTAAACTCTTATGTTAAGATCCACAAGTGGTGGAATTTTGTCTGTAGCACAAGTTGTGCCTGTTATGTTATATTAAGATTAAACAAAAAAAAAAGTTATTTGGACCTTCTTCTGTATTTTGTGAATTGTTTAAGACGTAGCGATAGCTCACTCATGACTTTAAAACTTCCAGTTATAATGGCAGTCTTACATTTTAAACTAGAAATAAATAAATTATAAAAAAATTTATTTCGGGAACTTTAATTGGAACCAAACTTGAAACTATTGTCAAGTGGAACCAAACTTGAGAATAAATAATAACAATTTAGTCTCTTTCTTTTTTTTCATTAACTTTTTCTTCTGGTCATAAATAAAAATGCATATGTGTGTATGTAAATAATTATAAACATCTTCATTTCTTACTATAGCTTGATATTTCACGGTGTTTCGATTCTGATAAAGTTTATAACCTTGGAGAAAAGTTACTGAAAATTATCTTCATCATGGATTGTAGATAATCATTCATTAATCGAGTTATTTGCTATGCATTTTCAAGTGTAAAAAAAGCTGTAATTATTATAAATGTATTTGCAAACAAAGCAATTGTTCTTAGTGCAAAAATTTGTTATCGAGCTTTCTTATTTTTTGACAAGCATGAAAATAAAATATGTATCTTCAAATATTTGAATAAGATTTATATCACATTGTAAATTAATTTTCTCAATTTATAGAATTTCTAGTGCATTATTGATGTTTTTGTTGTAGTGGAAATGAAAGTAATATGAACTCAGACTTTCAAGTAACTAAAATTTTATGATATTTGCAATACTGTAATTGCAACAAATACGTAACTGAAATTTCTTCACAGGTTTCCAGTTTGAGACCACTGCCTAACACCCCACATTTTAAATAAAACACGAAGTGCATGTTCTTGTGCTGACATTCATCCCCAAATGCAGAAAATTATGGCATTTTAAAATGCAATATATATTTTCAAGCACTTTAATACTAAAATTTTAATTTTGGATATCTAAATATGTATGTGTTATATGAAGTGATTAGTAATCTCTTTGAGAGTATTAATGTAAGTGCTGCTTACATTACAATCTTTTAAATTACAGACAATCTTTTAAATAGTAGATGATCTAGACTTAGTATGTTGAAGAATAGAGTGAAGTACTCATAGCTATGTGATCTCTTCATTATGATATTTTACTTTGTATTTTATCCCCTCTTAGTTTACCTTAGCCTAAGAATGCAGTATATAATATATATATATCATATTTATATGATCATGTTGGCTTTTTTTAGCCCAAGCTTGCAGTATATAATGCATATAATCTACATATAATATGTGTTAATTCGTCGATTATACAATTTGTAACTTTTGGTCAATGGCAGATACACTTTTTGCTTGCACTACTTAAAATCTTAGTATCCTCTCTGCCTGTTAATAATGTAAAAGATAATAGTTAATGTTTTATACCCTGACAGAAGTTCACTTCTGTTATGGAAAAAAATTGCAACTCATTAATGAAGATATGTATGTTCTCGCTGGCAGTTTATTTACTTGTTTCGTTTGCTAATAATTTTTAGGCATTCCTGAAGATTTGCGTCTGGAGGCTATTCAAGCTGCTCTGATGTTGATGCCAGATGAGAATCGTGAAGTTCTTCAATCATTATTGGAATTTTTATATGAAGTGTGTCAACATTCTGGTGTAAATCAGGTTAGATATTTTTAATTAGCCTGCAAACTTAAATTCTTCTGCAGTATCTCACCTATATGTATACTGGGAGATTTACTAGTATGTGTAGAAAGTTCTAGGAGAGCTAGTTATTCAAAAATGAATTCCAATTAGAGGGTAATGCAGGGTTAGAAACACAATCATTATGTGATAGAGGGTGTCAGTGGGAAATTGGTAAAGTGTTGTGCCATAAAAACTCCCATTTGACAAGCACATGCAGTGGAACTCGAATGTAAGGTTTCATAAATGCATATACTACCCCAGCAAGACGTATTCCAAACCATTAGATGTTTAAATCGCTGCATCAGACATTATGCGAAATGAGTTCTTTTAAGAGATGTGCCATAAATTAGGCAGAAACAACACATACCTCTGATATGGAGGAGATGGTGCTTTGTCATGTTCAAGGCACTTCATGTAGCAATGCACAAGCAATGGTCTCTCACTTTGGTCTTTCCTGTACCATCTTCTGAAAGATCCTGAACTCGAACCAACTACGGGCCTCTCTAGTGGCCGCATAATTAAGACTGCTGAATGCTGGAAGTTCAACCTGGGTTCAGCCCCATGTGAATAGGCTGGCTGCATTGATTTATGTTTTTCCCCAATGTGTAATGTGAATGTGAGCCAATTCTCCTTAGAAAGATCTCTGCGAAGGCACTCCTTTCCATAGGCAGATAACCAATATGTACTGTGTCATATTAAAATAATTCGACCTCAACCTAGCTTCACCCATACTATGAGGAATGCATAAAGCTACTCTAGAATGATAATTACACACCGAGGTTTGCTATATTTCAATGGTATCTTCAGAAAAGTGTGGCGAAATTTGAGTACTTAAATGTTAGATTTTGACAGTAGTAGATCAGGTATGATAGTCCCATTCATTGTCATGCACAATTGCTAGTTCTATCCTCCCTCATTTCTTTTTCTTCTGAAGTTGCATAAAAGGTATTGTTATGATACACTTGTAGAAAATAAGAAGGATCTTGTTGCGTGCAGCTGTTGCAGCTATCTGAGAGATGCCTGAAATATTTCAAAATGTTCGGCTGCTCCATTGTTAGTGGTTGGACTTGAAGATTTGAGATAGACGTCAAACACCTTCTGTCACCTCTTTAATATCACAACTGTTAAATACTGATGAATAAAATTATGTGCTTTTACTTATGAGTTGCTTTTTCACTTCTTATGTTCTCTGTTCATCAGCACATAATGATGGTATTTCCAATCCTTCATTGCTGTCTGATCCCAATTCGTCTTAATCTACCCCTTCTCGGATCCTATCATGCATGGTGCAGTGAACCCTTTTGTGTCTGTATTCAAAATAAGCTGATGAACCATTCTAGTGTCTTTAATTATAACAGTTCATCCACAAATTCTGAAGTCCTCCTTGAAGCAAGGGAAAATTAAATGTCAAATCAAGTAAAAGAATAAAATTAAACTTTTTCACTGAATTTAAAATTGAAATAAAAATAACAAACTGACCATATGACTCAGAGGGCGAAGTAGTAATGCAGTAGTGAAAAAATAGTAATCCCATCCATTTGAAGAAAATTTCAAGTGTAATCACATCCATTTGAAGAAAATTTCAAGTTTGAATAAAGCAAATAATTAAGGAATTTTTTACGTGATGTAAGATTAAAATTGAATAAATTGTGAAGTTAAAATGTAGAAATAGAATCTACTAGAAATTAAGTGAAAACACCGTAATCAAAGTACAAATTTCAAAACACTGGATTTCAAAACAAACCGAGAAAAACTACTGGATTGCTACGGGACTGCTGCATTCTCTGAGTAAGTTTTAAACTCATGTTTTCAGATTATTTTTGTTAGTTTTATTTCAGTTTTAAATTCAGTGAAAATGTCTAATTTTATTCTTTTACTTAGATTTGGCATTTAATTTTTCCTTATGTTAAGAAGAACTTCAGAATTTTTGAATGAACTGTTATAATTAAAAAAAAAACTTTAGAATAGTTCATCAGCTGATTTTGAATACAGAAACACCAGGGTTTTCAAGTGGAAGGGGAACTGTAATTGAGTCTGATGTATCCTCCTCTTGATAACGTTACATCAGATTTAATTGAATTCCTCTTCTTTCTTTCTTTCTTTCTTTTTTTTTTTTTTTTTTTTTTTTTTTTTTTTTTTGTCTGGTATTGGTTTTGTTATATTATATATATATATGTATATATAATTTCCAAATTTTGCAATTTAATCTTGGTCATTAAACATTAGCTACATGAGAAGTTATGCTTAACATTATCAAGTGTAGGTAATTGTTGATATTGCTGTCTAATAACAGTTTCAGTTGCTGCATGGTTTATATGTACATCTCTATGTAGTAATCATAGCATGATTTTGCAAAGGCAAGAGGGAGTTATGAATTTTTTTATTTTAAATGTCAGACCATGGAAAGAGAAATAATTAGACCATTGCAATCCTACTGGAAAAGGAAAAAGTTGCAACCTAGCAATCTTTTTATTTCCCTTTTTAGTATTCTTCATGTTTGGAAACCAAACTCAAACTTTGCAGTAACTTGTCTTTTTTCTGTTATAAAACAATGTAAAATATTTATTTCAGATGAGTGCTACTAATTTAGCGGTTTGTTTTGCCCCATCGTTATTTCATCTCTCTACAGCACGTAGTGCAAGCTCTAGTCCTCGTCGCCGAAAAACAGTTGGTGTGCCAGATTTACGAGAACTGAATGAAAACCGAGCAGCATATGAATGCCTATCATGCATGGTTCTTAACTATAAAACTCTGTTCACTGTAAGTGCTCTTGTAACATATGTTAAGAAATTTTCCAAAATTCTTACGTGTAATTTATTAGTTTGTTCTTTTTTATATCACTCTGTACAATTATTTTACAATTTATATATATATACAATTAGTCAATAAAGTCTGCGTACATCAAGAAAAGTAATATCAAATCCAAATTTTAAGGTGCGAAAAGGGTAGTTTCTTAAAGTTTTATTTTTTAAATATTTAGTTTCAATAAGGTACTTTGAAATTATTTAACTGTAATATTTTCATATCTAATAATTTATGCACACTAATTTTTAAAAGATAAGTGGCCAGAAATCAAAGCCAATAAAGTTTGCGTACAAAGCGAAGGAGGCGGGGGGGATTTCTTATCAAACTTTTAAACTTCAAACTTGAGAATACAAAGAAGGTTACACTTTCAAGGTCATTGACTTCCGAAGCAAATTTCACGTTGATTAGATGTTGCTATTTCTATTTTCTTTGACGAAATTGACAACCAATAAAGAAATTCCTTTAGTTACGAGACAACTAATTATCAAATTGAGAGATGAAGGTAAAACTCTTCGTTATATTGGTAAAACCATTGGAAAACCATTTTCTAGTATGCAAAGAGTTATTCAAAACTATCTTGACACTGGTAGTCTTGCTATAAAACCAAGATGTGGGAGACCGAAGAAGCTAACGCAGAGAGAAGAAAGAAAAATTCTTTTACGAATTAAACAAAATCCTAAACTTTCTGCTGCAAGCATTGCAAAAGACATTTTTTTAACTAGCAACAAGGACATTTCTCCTGAAACTGTACGAAAAGTGCTGCGAAAGTCCGATTATCATGGACGCAAACCTAGGTCTAAGCCATACATTTCCGAGACAAATAGAAAGAAAAGAATTGATTTTGCCAAAACATATTTAAACTCTTCGCAGGACTTCTGGAACAATGTAATTTGGTCAGATGAAAGTAAATTTACAATATTTAAAGTTAATGGCCACCCTATTGTATGGAGAAAACCAGGAACAGAACTGAATCTGAGAAATTTAAATCCAACTGTCAAACATGGAGTTGGCGGTGTGTGGTGATGGTATGGGGGTGTATGTCGTCGAAAGGAGTTGGAAATTTTCACATTATTGATAAAGTTATGGATAAGTATGTTTATCTGGATATTCTGAAGAAAAATCTACGAGACAGTGTCTGAAATTTAAACCTTTCTAATACCTTTATTTTCCAACAAGACAACGACCCGAAACATACAGCTAAAATTGTGAAGGAATATCTCCTCTATCACACTCCAAGACAGTTGCGTACTCCTCCACAGTCACCAGACCTCAATCCAATTGAACATTTGTGGGCAAAATTGGACAAAACGAATTCGAAAACACAATATTACGTCGCAAAATAAGCTAATTAGTAAATTGCAGGGAGAATGGGCAAAATTTACATCGGATGACACTGAAAAAGTAGTTCAGTCAATGCTCAGACGTCTGCGAGCTGTTTTGAAGAATAAAGGATATCCTACAAAGTATTGAAGTAATGTAAAAGCTTATATATATTTTTTTTTTAAAAGTGTACGCAGACTTATTGGAGGGAATTTCTGAGTTTTTTTGACAAAATATATTTTTGAAAAAATGTAAAAAGTATTACACTGATATTATTTACTTTTTATTTAAGCTTACAATTTTAGCTAATAGAAGAAAAAAAATGCAATGATTAAAATACATTTTTCTATGCTTTAAGTGTTTTTTTAATTTAAAATTTAGTCTGTACGCAGACTTTTGTGACTAACTGTATATAATTTTTTTTAATTTATTGATCTTGCCAAAATCTAATTATAGTAAATTTTTATAGGATGTGTTGTGTAATTAATTATAATTATACACGCAAAAGTTATTTGCCTTTAAGGGCTTTATAAGACAAAGCTACTTTGTAGCTTGATTCCTGTATAGATAAAAGTACAAAAAGATTAAAAAAATTAATTATAAAATATTGTGAATAGTACATACTGTGTAATGAAGCCGAGGAATGTAAATAAATTTGCAAAAAGGCTTTACTTAATTAGTAACATTTTATGATGATGTAATTTCAACTTTGAAATCTTTACAATTTCTGTAAATGCTTAGTCATTAATTTTGGTAAGTTTATGTAGGTAATTGTTTACAATAGAACAGATTTCATAAAGTGCATAAATTTTTGCATAAATAATTATTCTCAATTAAGTTTTTATTTTAGTATGTGAAAAATTCTAGCTATATCTTCCATTTGTTCTTGTGATATAATGGTCAACTCAGCCAAGTAAGAACTGGAAAGCTCAGGTTTATTGCTAGTGAGTTGATTTTTTAAGATTTTCTGCTCTCCAAATCAAAAGACTATATAAATGCACCAGAACTAAAATGTGGTGGGGAACAGTTTATCTCTAAGCTGATTTGGGTAACTATCACTTTCTCTGACCACATCCTCCATGAAGACATCCCTCTCCTTAAGCAGGTAGCCCTTGTGTGCTTTGCCATAATTAAATAAACTAAGCCAAAACTTTTTCTACAAATGCTTTTTAGGTAGGGGAATTATGGAGTTGGAGACATTTCTTTTAATTGATCAGATCTACCTGCACAAATGAAAAACTTGAGCTCAGTTCCTGACGAAAGCACGTTGGACTTTGGAATGTTTTATGCACCAAAATAGTTAACGATTGTGAGGGTTTACGAAAATATTGCATGATCGTGTTATTTTACTTGATAACTTAATTGATACTTGACCAACTCAAGTTGTCAAGTTGATACATGACTAAATTGAAACCAACAAGATTTACAAAAATATTGCCCACTCCTGTATTTTACTTCTGCCAACTTGATTTGAGTAATTGGCTATCTCTTCCTCTTCTCACAGCTGATTTTTAGGTAGGGGATTATGTAGTTGCACATATTTCTTGCCAAATAGTCTGCAGATCCACCTAGCAAATGAAAACCTTGAGTTCAATTCTTGGTTTATATATTTAATTTGTTTTCATTCCTGTTTTAAAAGAAATATTGTTCCAGTAAAGTGTTTCATCATGGTAAATAATGCTGTATGAGTAATAATTCAGAGGCTAAGGCAGTTGTTTGTTTCCTCCCTAGATTCCTATTGATTTGTATAAATATTTAGAATCAAATAAATTCTCTAAACATCTATGTGTTTTAAACAATTTAGCTGAGTACCACATTAGCAATATGTAGCATATTGCTATTTTTAACCGAGTGGATTTTTCAGTTTGGTTTAGATTATTTAATACTGGCAAAGTACACAATGTCTGTTTGCCTACACTGATACTAATCTCTGTTATAGTAGTTGCATTATGCAACATAACTTAACATGATGTCAAATCAGTTAAAAAGCAGAGTCACGTGATTGTACAATAAGATTACTTATGCTTTTGTGTTACCACCTTGTGCCTGCATTGCAGGAAAGACATAAATTATCTGTTGTCACCTTCATGCAGGATGGTGCCCCGCCCCACATTGCATGCGACGTCAAGACGTTGCTGTTGGAATCTTTCACGGAAGATCGAGTGATAAGTCCCGGTTGTAAGATTCAGTGGCCCTCAAGATCACCATACTTGACCCTGGCAGATTTTTGGTTGTGGGGATAGTTAAAGTCTCGTGTGAACTGGGGCTTCCCAACCACACTGGTGGAACTTAAAGAAGCCATTTGGCTGACCATCGCTGCCATCGGTGGCGACTTGCTACACTCCGCTGTAATGGGCGTAGTGATGTGCCTCACTTGCCTATTATCTTGTGATGGTGGTAATGTCTGTTTGATTGTCTGTTTCTGTTTGCGTGCTTTGAATAAAATGTTTCAGTATGACATGCGAGTGCCCTCTGTAGGTTACTTTTGTAAAAAATTTTTTTACATGTAAAAAAATCCAATGTCTTTCTAACCCTATCGGCGCAAACAGAAAATTTTTCCGTGCATTCCTTCTTTTATTACGAATGTTTGAACTTTGCACGAATTTATGATACTACCGGTATATATATCTCGGTAGAATTTATTGCTAATGTTATACCATAACAGTTACATAAATTTAATCAACTTGTTTTTATATCTTTTAAAATAGTTAAAACAATTTATTTTCAATACTGACAAGAATTTAGCTTCATTAATGCTTAATATAAAAATTGAATATTTTTACCTTTTTTTTTCAATTGATCTTGCATAACTAAAATTTCCTTATTAGAAAATATTAGCAGAAATGTAATTTGTAATATTTTTTTAAAGTCCTGAAGTGTAATCTAATATGGCTTTTGGTTTAGAGTTTTTAAATGAGTCAATTTTTTTGTCTAGTAGCTTAGCAAAGACATTTTTGATGCATTGTTTTACATCTTAAAAAAGAAGATTCATTGTTTGTTTACTTCTGCATCCTGCTACTTAAATGTGGATATAAAAATATGTTTTTATCATTTATGTCTACTTGTAAGTAATACCTATTTCTCTGTTGTATCAAACTTCTTGAGCTATATGACACCTTTGCTTTAGTGTTTTTTCCTGGTCCTTTATCTTAAGACCATCCTTTGGTGAAACAGCTTTTTTCTGATTTTACATGATCCCAAACCCATAAAAGTCACATCCTTATCCTCAAATGTGTTTATCATTTTTTGGGTATTTCCTATAAGAATGTTCTAAAAAGCAATTTGCATTCATCTTTTCTGATGGAAAATTTTTAAATTCTAGAATATAATGAAACCTAAAAGTTTGCAATAAACTGCATGTAGTTTTAATAGGAGAAGAGAATCTTCTAGAATTTTGAAAAGTTGGTTGCTGATGGACGATACATTAATTCACTGAAAATAAAATTTTAAAGTTTCATCCTCTTTTCACTTAGCCTGTTTCCTTAAGCCACATAGAGAAAGCCACAGTTATTTACTCTTTTGTATTCACTTTGTACAGTAATGGCAAATTTTCAACATTTTTGAAACATTTTCTTTTCTGTGATTGATTGTCTTATGCTTAGAGGTGTCATCTTTCCAAGTCCACTGAATTTGCGCAAAGTAAAGTAATGAGCAAATCTGTACTTTTTTTACTGCATTACACTAATATCATTTAAAGGCTGAAGTCCTTTCAGAAACTAGGTGAATAAAATATCAAAAGTATCTTTCATTTTTCTATCCATCCATTTCTTAGGCTAAATTATTGAACCAGTACTCAGCAGATTCATTTATAACAGTGATTTTTGTTGTGCAGTTACCATCCATCCATCGGGAAAATTGCCAAATGTCCTCACTTTCTGATATTTTGCTTTTGATATGGAATTTCTCTGAAATATATTTTCTGTAAGTTGCTGTTTTCTTTGTTTCAGGATTAGCTATTTCAGTGTTGAAGGAGGAATATCCAGTTTTTTTGACAGTGATACTGTTTAAAAAAAAAAAAAAATCCTGTACTCTTCTTAAATTCATTTGAAATTTAAGTTTTATCTTTCTTTTAGTGAGGGTACTTTTCATTTTCTACACATTTTAGCAGCAAGTTAAATTTTTAAAAAGTACTAAATGTATTCACTGAATAACAAGAAGATTTCATAGCTATTCTCTCCCTCCAAGTAATCCTTCTGTTCATCCTCTAGTTGAATTTCAACTCCTGAATTTATTTGATATTCCAAGGCTTCATTCCGCATATTTCCATAAACAACTTTTATATGCTGTTACTCATCCCCTGAAAAAGAGGAAAATCCTGGGGATGCTACTATTTAAGCACCAGAGCGTGGAATGCTGATGTATAAATTAGGTTAAAAAATTATGCATAACCCAAACTGTGCTTTATGCAAATCAAATAATTTGCTATTAACCTGAATAAATGTAAAACATAACAAATATTAAACAATATTTAATTAATTAATGTGAAATAATACTTCATTCTACTAAGAATATCAGAAGTAATTTCTCCATGCCTTCATCATCATTACAGGTTCATTTCAACAAATCATCTGATACAGTGTGTTTGTGGATTTTGGATTTTATTAACCATTTGTCTGGCAAATAATAACCTTCAAGATTTTGTGCCATTAAAAGTCAACCAACCAACTAATAATGTCATAGTATAAATGACACATTTAGATGTCTATTATTTCATATAGTGAGAAGTGAGTGACCTTTGCTGATAAAGCCTATCATCAGTCCTTTCTTTTCTTTTTGGTTTGTAGTGAGAATATGTGTGCTATGATTAGGTATAAGAAAGAGGGAAAGGTAATCTTAAAAATTCTGAAAGATCAAAGTATCTGTTCCATCATCTCAGTCAGGGAAAATTAGATAACTCTCAAGCAAATCACGTCAGCCAAACTGTGCATGACTGTGAAGCAAACAGTCTACTAGTGGTTAACTGATGAAAACTGCTGAATGGTAGAAGTCTTACCAGAAGTTGTTCTTCACAGAACACACTGGCTACATGAGAATGTTTAGTTTTAATGTAAACATGAATTAAATATACTTATGAGTGGTATTCTTTTCGTGCTTTACCATAAACAATACATTATGTAACTAGAAAGGAAATAGGCAGATGTCTCAATCTCAGCAAAATATGTTTTGAGTAGCATAACTATTTATTTCCAGCAAATACATACTTTAAATATGAATTTTTCTGATTACCATTAGTGATTGTATATTCCAACTGACTGTGATTGCTCTGTCATGCATGAACAGAAATCATATTGAAGTTTTCTGTATGCTTTGTGGGGCAACAACTTTTTTTTTTGACTTGAATTCATTTTTTAATTTTTGTCTGAATGGACAGATTATGTAGAATTATTACAGAATGTTTGCCTCCCCAGTGAAATTTACACAAAATAGAATTACTAAGAATTGAATGAAATTTCTTTAGGTGAATTATGTACATTTATCAGAATATATAATTTTTTCTATGATTTACAGATTTCTGTCTTCTTCTGTTTCCAGTTTGAAGAGATTTACTGTATTAAATTTGTATACTTTTTTTTTTTGTATTATTATTTTAAATTTTGGTATCATCTCTTTTATGTGGATCCTGCAGCTTTTAATCTGTGAAATTAAATAACTTGAATTTATTTCTTAAGGAATGTAATATATCTTTTTATTGCATCCAGGTATCAGAAGAAACAATTTCTCAAAGCCGCATTTCATCTGCTGTACATTTTCAACCAGCCACTGTAGAGGAACTGTCTAGTTTCTCTAGTAATGGGCAAAGTGGATGGAAAGTTTACATAGATAGCTGCATTCAGATGTTTTTAAAAGTATGAAAGAGTAGATTTTACTATGCATTTATATTAAAATATTATTGCAAAAAATATGTAAAGCTTAGATTTAGTGTAATTTTAAATTAACCATTCTTTTATGTACAAAGTTTTAACATCGAGTAGTGCATTGAAATTTATTTTGATTATGAGTTCTTGTTGAACTCTTTTCTATTACATTTTAAAAGTGCACAGCTTATGATTGTGTCACTTGTATAAAAATTGCAAAATATAATATCTCCCCTCTCCACTGCAAAGTTCATAACCAGAAAGCTTAGCTTAAAGTATTAAACAAGTTAATGAAAATTATTGAAATTTTGCTGTCACTGAATGTGTGTATGAGTTCTCGTGTATATAGAAAGTGCCTATAATGAGACATATAAAGAGAACTTCACACTGGCAAAAGTACCTAATACACTTGATTGCTGAAGCCAGGTCTGGGTTTAGAGAAAGTTCAGTGAGGTACTTGCCTGTGGTAAAAATGAGAAGTAGAGTTAAATGAAAATATAATAAATGAAACACTAGCATAAATAAAAGCTACACAGAAACTTAATAGTACTGATATACGCCCGGGCATCAAAATATATCAACACAGCTTCTAGCTGCAGCCAATATGTTATGTCAGTAGCAAAGGGAAATGCTTTGGTTGCAGATCTAATAACTGTAGGTGCAACCAAGTAACTTTTGAAAGTATAAAATCACTGCTTGGAAGAAAGCAGTTGTTATTAATTATTATTAGCGAGTAATGCAGTGCATTTGTGAGTCCTGGTATCAGTAAGTGCCGGAAACCATGTTTGATTCTACAAGAATGGCATCTAACCTAAGTGAGAAGCGATTTGAGAAACTTTTGAAGCAAACACAAAAAAACACTGAATGAATTGTTAGCAACCAGCAAAGAAATACAGCTGCAGTTATATATATATATATATATATATATATATATATATATATTATAACTGCAGCTGTATTTCTTATCAAGCATATCAGCTATATATATATATATATATAAATGCTGATATGCAGAATCTTCAAATTTGAAATTTTTGTATTACATCAAAATGTTGAATTTTGTCATAGAGAAAATACACAGTATCTTTCCACATTGTAATTTAAGTTACACCCAGTATGAAAAGCACATTTTGAAATCTTCATTCGAATAAGAAGTACAATTAGAATAATATTTTTAGTGGCAAGTGCATTAAAATAAGAGATAACTATATACTTTTAAAGTAGATGAAAAGAATTTTAATATTTGGAGAAATATTTCTTTGAATTCTATGTGTATCAAACTCTTTTTATGTCAAGGTACAGCTGTCTAAACATAGTAAACTTTTCATTGTCGGGTAATACATTCATTATCTGTTAGGATAGCTTTACATAATGAATGCATGAACAATGACATAATGCACTCTGATGTCAAAGACAAGATTCTTGCGTTGCATCTGAATAGTAAACTGTCATGTTTAGAGCAATAATTTGGTGTTTGCACTATATGGCCATCTTACTCAGAAGATGTATGAGAAAGTATGTATGTATGAGAAATCACTTCTTATATCAACTAATAGAGTTGGCTGTTAATTTAGCAGTGGTGGGCACCTGCTTTACATATGAGGGTCAAATTGAGATGGATTTTATCATTGTGCTCTGTGTTTTATTTAACCAGTATGTAGCAATATTTCTGGAGGAATAACCACTGCTAATTTAAAAATATTAGCTACATTGATTTAAAATTGTTTTAGTAAATGATTTTTCAATTACTAATTGAATTTTAGTATTACAGTTTTATCTTTGAAATAACATCAGGCACATAAGACTTAAATACCATTTTAAATACATTTTTTTCCAATAAATATTTATACCCTTAATTTTAATGCTTAAAATGTAATACTAGGTACTTTTAATTATCTTAAGTAACAATTATAAATTAAGCTACTGGTAATAGAATAGGAACTCTCAGCTTCCATATAGCTTATGACCTTTCTGGCAGTGAAATAGTAATGAGTTACATCAGACGATCTTACAGCCTCTTGTCTGACCCCTGGCATCATATGGCATACATTTCCTGAAAATGTGTTCATGACTTTGATACCTTTTTATGACCAGTGCTCTTTTCTGATCTGCCAATCACTTAGGATGTGTAAGTCATGTCTGAATGTGTCCTAAAATGAATAAAAATCTGCTTAGGAGTAAAATAATATCTAAGAAAATGTGCCAGAGTCCAATGTTAGCTAACTGTATATTATCTATGTTATGGCTTTGAGGAAGTCTGCATAGTATGCTACTGCAAAAGGTGTTATAGAATATGTGAAAAAGAAGCTTTTAATTGCATTTTCTCAATAATAAATGCCCACGTTATTCAGAAAGTACTATTTCCCTTCATATCTTCCTTGCATAAATCCATATTCACTTCTAATGGGAAATTGCTGTAAGTTTTAGTATATGTATTTTGTTAAAGACAAAGGGGCTGGCAAAGGGAGAAATTTGACAATGCATGCAAGATGCAAAGTATTATGGAAAGTATCTAAGCATGTCATTCTAAGAAATGGCTTCAATGATATACATCACAGAGTGATCTTAAACAAACAAGAAAGGGATGTAGTCAAGTCCACAAATTTCATTGCAAAGTTTATACACAAGCTTAGGATAATCAAAAGAGATTATTAACTGATTGTTGAGAAGTGATTGGATATTATCACTCCAGAAAATTTATGTTGCATATGTCACATTCCACTAAAATGATGTTGATGATATTGTAGACATGAGCCAGTTTCTTTTAGAAAGGCCTCCACAAAGGTATTCATCATCTTAAGGAGATAGCCCTTGTATGCTTTGCCAGAATCAAACAAACCACACCAAACTTAAGCATTATTGTGTGGAAGTAAAAGAGTCATTCAGCATGCCAGTTTACTGTATTTTTATGTACTGTAATCAACAAAATTTATTAACTTGATCTCATATTAAAAATTAAATAAATGTATGCAATAAGTTAAATTACTATTCTGCTTTTTGTTTATTCCATGTCTGAAATACAAAACTTGCATTTTACAAAATTTAAATCCAGAGCATATTGCTCTGAAATTTTTTAATCCAATGTTATTAAAAGTTCAGTCGGCCTCCTGAATAGAGAGGACTTAATTGACTCATTAAATATTCATAGGGGATGGCTGGCCCATTGGTTATTTAGTCATCTCAACACCATGCAACATGAGGTTACGGATAAATATTACTCCACGAAGATAATTACAACCAAGCTTTATGTGAAAATCAAACCTACACCCTTCTTTCATATGCAAAGCCCAGTAGTGTGAAGAATAAAACAATCAAATAAATCAGATATAAAACACATTATTAAAATTTTAATGTGATAAGTTTATTCTTGATCTACTTCATTAATAAACTGATTTACTTTTGTATTTGCTTTTCCTTAATTGTTCAGTCACCATGTGTACATTTGGTCATTTTAAGTGTCAACAGGCTTCTGAATGCACATGTGTAAAACAACTTCATTTTAGGTCGACAACAAACTTCATTTGTCTAAAAATTTGCGTACATGGTTTTGTTTTCTTGAATGTACAGCTAAGGTAGCTTTTTTAAGCAATAATTTACATTGGTTTCTTGAGATGTAAATCCATTTTTTTCTTAATATGTCTGTGAGTTTTATTTTCTCTGACCCTCACATCACCTGAATGCTCACCTTTACATTTTAATTAATTGAAAACTCTTTTTTTCTTTAAAAATAGTTTCTTCTCTCATTTTTAACATAAGGTACATATAGTAATTAATTACAGTGTACGTAGACCCTTTCTTCAGAAAAAATCCATTTATCCGAATAATTTTTGATTATCCAGGGTCCGATTCCAATTGATTCAGATAATTGGAGTTCTACTGTATTTATTTATTATATTTTTAATTGGTCCTCTTAAGGAAAACATTTCTTAGAACTTAGGTTTATAAAAGGAATCTAGTATTTCTGGTTGTGTATTTTGGAGTTGTAACTTTAAAAATTTAAAGTGGCAGGCTTGCAAGACTTATCTTCAGCTGGAGCCCAGTTCTGAAACTTCCCGATTTTTGACCAAAATCGAATTTCAGGTGGAGCTTGCAATAAGATGAGCTCCAGTATCTTGTTGAATAGCTGATCTGCAGTATTACTAGAAAAATTATCATTAATACATTTAATTTGTATTGCTTATTATTTATTGTTTTATTTAGTTGTTAATGCATTCAGCTGGGTGCACCGAACTAAATTGTTTATATTGTACAATATTTTATTTTAGATATGAACACAACAGACTATACATTATTTAATTTTAGATATAAATACAATAGAATAAATCTGTTACACTTTTGAGTTAAAATAAAGAAGGAGGTTGAATTAAAATGAAGATAAAAAATATTTGTGTGTAAAAGACCACTTTCTGAATATTGGTGCATAATAATTTTTTTTTCACCGTTGGGAATGGCTTTTGACAGGGCTAGAATACTTTCATTTTTAGAAATTGAGTGTTAGCTTTCCGAGCAATTAAAAAGTACATTTCTTTCATTTTTAATTTTTCTATAAAACTTTGCTATGAAAATATGTATTCCAGAGTTGAAGTAAATTGAATGATCCCCCCCTTCGAAAAAAAAGGAGACAGGCATTGTCTCATAAGAATTTAATGTTAATGTTCCTTTTACAGTAATCTTCCGAGTTCCAAACTGTGAGCTAGTTTGAGCTTAGTAATTATAGAAATTGCTAAGATCTTAGATGATCAGACTCAATTTTTCTTGCTAATTTCTGAAGCATGGTCATTAATGTATCATATCTAATTCTGCAGTTGTGTGGAATGTGGGTGAAATAATCCAAGTTTATGTGATCCTTTTGTAAATATTCTTAATTATTTCTTGCCTTACTGTACATATTTTTTAAATAACAATAAGCCATTCATCATGTATTTTGTTTTTAGGAAGTAAGGGAAAAGTATAAAGGCTGGGTTAGTGTATCTCAAAATGATCATGTTGAATTGGCATACAAAAAATTATCTGATGGTCATCCTCTTAGACTTTGGAAGGTTTCTACAGAAGTAGAAGCGCCACCTGTTGAGCTTTTGAACCGCATTCTTAGAGAAAGGTAATAAGTGTTACGAATGTGGTATTTAAAAAGCTAATGTTAGTTCAATTATAAATTAAATGGTTTTATTTCCCACACAGTGTAGCGTGTGACGAATATTTAAAAGAAAGCTAAGCCAGAAAATTGAAAATACAAGAGAGCGTGCATTAAACATTTAATAAATATCTCTTTTTGATTTCGAGAAAGTACTAGAAAATTCTCGCACGCGATTTTAAAATCTTATAAAAGGAGGAAAACCTCTCAATTCGTAGGTAGTTACTTAGTTTGTTGTTGTTTAGAAAACTGCTCTTGTTGATTGTAGCGAATTCATGGATTAGCTTTCTTTAGCTGTTTTGAATTACGTTCTATTGAACGTTTGAGTAGTTAGAAGATAACTACTGTGGTATATTGTGATACTGCACGATTTATTTGAGGACATTTAATCATTTTTATTGTGATAATAATAAAATCTTGTCCATTTTTTATATGTAATTGTATTTATCCAATATTAAATATCATAAAACAGAAAGTGAGTTGATAAAATGTTGCAGAAAACTGCAGTTAGATTTATTATTCAGAAGTTTGATTTATTGTTGAGATATGCAAAAAAAATTTTTAAATTAACTATAGCCATATAATTGGTGTTAGTAATTATGCAGAAGATTAATATTTGTGACACAAAGTAACAAACCTGAATGAATATTTGAAAGATGCATGAATGGTATTAGAAAATTTATGGCCACTTCTGTATATATGCAGGATGTTATTATATTACCCAGAATTCCAGTATAAATAAATTTTTATGCTCAAATTGTATTTTGTGAGAAATTTTTATATGCTTTTTAAGTAAATGCATGGGAAAAATAGTTTCTTTCTGCACATCATGTCTTCTGTGGGAAGTGAAATTAGTTGTTTCTGCTTCCACTTGTTTGTTTATTCACATGCAGTGGAGGAAAAGTCTCATTATAACTGCCAGTGCAAATATTTTTAACTTTGATGATTTGATTAGTAATTATTTTGGCAATTACCATATAAGAAATGTTAGAATCTCGGGAATTAACATTTTAATTTGTTTTTAGTTTAGAAATTAAATAATCTTCATTTATATCTGAATAAGGTACATTATTATATCAACTGTCGGTTTCGATAAATTTTAGACATTTAGAAAAAATGTTTTGTGCTCTTACTTGACTGAAGTTGTTGGTGGCACTAACTTCATCAGCAATATATCTATTGGTAATATAGTTAGGTTTGTGGAATTTTTTCATAAAATTTTATTTTTTAAATAAAAAAAGGTGCAGATAGCTGTGAAATGATTGTACCCACAGATGTGTAATTAACATGTAAATAAATTGAGTTGCTAACTTAATACATTTATGAAACAGTGTACAGTGAAGATAGGTGGTCCATTTTCCATTTTAATCATTTTACTTAGTCCTGGTAACTTGTTATACAGAAAATTCCAGTTCATGTAGATCACTTTCAGTAGTAGTGGAATGTAAAAATTTTTAGATGAATAACTATGAATATTTTCTAGCTTTACAGTTTCTTTTTTTTCCCCTTAATTGTTGACCTAAAAATGAAGTTGGTTTAAACCCCTTCCTAGAATAAATTGGTACCTTTTTTTAATATTGCTGCAAAAGAAATATCAGTGGCTTTTTGTGATTATTAATGGTAATTGCAATAAGTATAAATTTGAATGGATTTTTATGGAAATAAACCAAAATCATAAATAGTTGGAAATTATATTATGGGATGTTTAAGCTGACAGTGAAAGACATTAAACTTTCTGACAATTATATAATTTTTGTATGATGGTAATTTTGTGTGTAACATATTTAAGTTCTTTATTAATTAAGTTTTGGTAGGAAGATTTTAATCTAAGGCATTGTTTCTGGCTCTATCAACTGTATAGTAGGCTAGCTAGCTGTTTACAGCTTACTCATTGCTTAAATATCAAATGTAAGAATTAAAAGATGTAAAATTCCCAAATGATAGACTCATGTGAAAATATTATTCCTCAAAATAATGTAGCTATAGCAACCAGATTTTCTGAAAAGCTTTCATTTACGTTAGTTTGTGTACTTGGAATACCTGTAAAATTGAAAATAAGTGTAAAATCTGAATTAACATTGTTGGGCTATGTATTGAAATATTAGATTTTATTCCAACATTTCAAAGAGGTTTACTCTAGACTCATTATTTGGTTTCAAATGTTATATTAAATTTTATCCATTTTCGCTAAGCACAATTTTATATGGGCAGCATGAAATATACACAGGCTCCTGCACTTACAACAAAGTTCAAATTTCCAGCTAAAAAAATGAAAAAAGGTGATAAAAGACAATAATAATAATAGTAATTTTACATGTAATATATAAGCAGATAAATACTGATGTGCTCTTGCATGTATTTTCTGAAACTGCTATTAATAATTTTAACTCTTAAATCAGATTCTGTATTTTATTTCAAATTATTTAATAATTTATTTTAAGGCATCTGTGGGACACACTTGTTAAATGGAAAGTTGTAACTCGCTTCAACAAGCAGACAGAAATATTCCAGTACCTGTGTTCTTCTTTATCTCCACATCCACCATGTGATTACTGTGTGTTACGGTAAGCAATTTCTTTTAAATATGACATTTCTTATGAATGACTTTCTTATTAAATCTAGCTACAGATTTTTAGGAATTTATTTTGAAAATGTACTAAACTGTAGTTAATATGAATTGATTATTTTTTCTTCAGAGGTTTATTTTCTATTCATTGCAATTTATAATTCGCTCACATTAAAAATATCAAAAACACAAAAAAACTGTTAATATTGTACTTGACACAATTTTGTTACAGACTTCTAGTACTGAACTTCATGGCATTCCCACTGATTTCCAATCTGGTGACCAAATTTTTCTATCAAAAACTCTTGAAAAAAATGTATTCTTATTTTATATGAGCAATCCATGCATAAATAGCAAGTATTTTGTTATGAGTCCTAATTAAAGAATAGAGGTGTTACTTTCAGATCTTCTTACATACGTGCCATGAATATTTCTTGTGATTTATAACTCTTAGCAAAAGTTTTATATTTTCATTCGACATTTCATTCATTTCATGTGTGAAACATACCTATCTGCAGGTGGTATTGGTGGATAGTTATTTCTGGTATGGAGCTGGAATGCTTTGCTTGTATTTAGACATCTTTGTACATTCTTAAAGTTTGAGTTTGGTGCCTCAAAATATCAATTTTTTTAAAGTTTTTCCCCAAAATTTCAGTTTTCTTAAGTTCATCTCAAATTTCAGTTCTCATCATCAGTGCAATAAACAAAAACATTCTTTTTGGAAAATTAGATTTTTAAAATTAACTATTGCCTCTAACAAAAATAACTTTTGTGCCTCTTTTCTAAGAGATTTTATTCCTTTTATTTAGTGGTCAGTATCTCAGCATGACTTTATGGTAAATAAAGATCATGAAAAAAATCATTTAAGCGAGATTTGACTGGAGTTAAGAGTTGCACCAAACTAATTATTATATTGAACAATAGCTTCTGTAGAAAATTTTGCTCTAAATAGTAGAGCTTTATGGAGGTATTGTTGTTGCTTATGCTCACTTGTCCGACCTTATAGTCAGCCCAAGCCCACAGAATTCCAAGGAGTGCAAGATTACGCCTGTCATTGGCAACAGCCTTGAGCATCTTACAGGTGACAGTGCGACTTAGCTCAGTTCTGCCCCCAATTTTGATGGAGCCCTGTTGGATGGATCCGAGGATCTCCCACCCCTAGGCTCTACCATCAACCTCTCAAGAAGACTTTCAGCTTGCCCCATATTTAGAGTGCCCTCATGCCAAATGGACACTATATATTTCCAAACATACATGCCTTCTTCAGGATTCTAACCCAAGCCCTTCAGCATGGCAGTCAGCGATGTTAACCTCTATACCAGTTGGGTGGCATTTTATGGAGATATTGAGACTTTATAGTTGATATCAGTACTGCAAAAAAACTTAAGAATGAGTTAAAAATGCTGATCATTGTAATCTGGCCTTAATTTTTTTTAAATTTGCATCGTCCCAAAATAATTACTTACATCAGTTTTGTGTCTTTAACTTTCTCTAATAATAATCAACTAACAATTATTTATGGTACAGCTGAAACAAGAATAAACTAAATGTACTTGTCATGAACTATTGCAAAATTTTAATTTTCTTTTGAGGGATATCTTAACAAGTATTATCTTAATAAGTGCTAGTATTTATTTAAATAGAATAATTAACTTTCAAAATAACTCTTACCAGGGCTGTAACCCCTGAATGGCTGAACATTGGTAGTTCTGTCTGGGGTTTGAATCCCAGCGAACGAGCTGGCTGCATGGTTTTTCATAGTTTTCCCTATGTGTAATGAGAATATGAGACAGTTTGCCTGAGAAAACCCTCAACAAAGGCATCCCTTCCCTTAGGCAGATAGCCATTGAGTGCTTGTGTCATATTTAAATGAACCAAACCAAGGGGGAAATTACTTTTAATTCATAAAATCAGAATGATTATTTCTCCTCTCATTAAAGAAGTAAAGAAATTTATTTCTACAGTTGTAAATAACATTCTGATAGTAAAAACAATCACAAAAATCTTGCATTCCCTTTTATAAATTGTGTTTATATTACAACTAAAACTTGTTCAGTCCTTAAAAATGTTGTTTCATATTTTAATCTTAAGAAAACAGTGTCACTATTATCAGCATATGTTTGGCAAATAAAGCTACAGTCAGAAAAAATTTTCAATAAAAAAACAAAAATGTTTTCTAAAAAAGAAGAAATATCCGAATCTCAATTTTAATGAAGCTTAACATTATGTAAAAAAATTTCTTCATTTGGTGGGTTAGATTGTTTGAAGCTGTTCAGTTTTTAGTAGTTGTTAATGATTTTAATATTCTTGTTCACAAATTTTTTTAATAATCTTACTTCTAATTATTTTACTTCTTTTTCTTTCCTACTGAATAGACTGGAGACCAGTTTCACTTTCGTTTTTTATCATTTTTGTTTCATTTATAAAAATGGTTGTTAAAAAAAAAAAATCTGGAAGATTTCTTTGAAAAATGAGGGTCTTAAAAAACTAAACATGGCTAAAATATATGAACTGGTTTGTGTTGAGCAGCCATCTACTATAAATAAAGAAGGTTCAGAGTAACCTATAATAACTTTCAAATCCTTTTTCATTCAATTTTTCTGTGTGTATAGAAGGAAATGTTTAGGTAAGCCCAGATTGAGCACAACGTGCCTCAAAGGGTTAAAAATATATACATCTTATTGTCATGCATATACTATTGGACATTACTTCATAAACCCAAAAAACTATTGTACATGAACAAAATCTTTGCTATCTCCATACTTATGTATACCAAAATTAAATATACTATTAGTATACTCCTGATAGAGCATTCATAGTGCCTCATAGGAGGTGTTAGTATCTCCAGATAGTAGAACACATGAAATAAATACATCCGTTTAGACATCAAGTATTCCCATCATCTGTAAATTAATGATAAATATTGAGATTATCTTGAATGTAAACTGTTCATGAGACGTAGGGTATAATTAATAAATTTTTATCTTTTGTTGCTGACTTGAAATGCAATATTATTCCTAGAGAAGCTTTTATTTATGTTAGAAATTATATATTCTGAGTATATCATTTGTATATCTGCAAGTCACATACCCTTTAAGCTTTTTTGTTATTTATCCTACGAAGCATTATTATATTCATTGCAATTTATCTTTTTTGAATACTCAGCCTTCCTTCTCCTTATTTCTTTACTTTTTTAATATTGGCATGACTATGCTCTAGTTCATTTAGCCTTACTATGTGAAGAAAACGTATAAATATAAAAATATAATCTTTTTGTATTTTTACATTCTTTTCGTTTAGGTCCTGGAGAACAGATCTGCCCAAAGGTACTTGTGTTCTTATTGAAACTTCAGTAAATCATCCAGAAGCAGAAATTGTACCTGGGAGTGTCAGAGTATTGGTATTAGCTTCCCGTTATTTAATTGAACCGTGCGGTTCTGGCAAATCTCGAATTACTCACTTGAGTAGGGTTGACACAAGGCAAGTATATTAATTAAGACTTGATAGATATTCTTTTTCATAAGCTATTTACTGTTGTAAGTGCAGCAGATTTCATTAGAATCCCAGCAAACAAAGCAAAGCAAGCTTAATATGAGTTACTGTAGTGGTTTATGCGAGTTTATTTATCTCTTATGTGAGTTTATATTTTATAGCTACCAAAATTTAATAGGATTAATTTCACTAACATAACCATGCTACATTTTTCAGTGTTGTGAATTTTTTGGTGTCAGAAATTGGGCAATTTTCCCTTCCCCCTTTTTATTACACTAAATGTATATGATAATTTGCTGCAGAAAGTACTTCATCTTCTTTTCATATGCGACTGTGTTGTATATTGCTAATTGTTCTTGTTCAAAAATTTAAAATTTATATGTGATGACTTTTATCTGTGATACTTTCAGTTATTGAATAAAATTGGAACTGAACAAACACGTTTCATTCTGGGATTTAACCTATTGCCTACTTATTCATTACTGTGAATGTGTTGAAAATAAAAATAAGTAAAATGAGAAAGTCACAAATTATAAACTAAACTTGAGTTTATGGTGTCCACATGAAGAAAAACTAAAACATACTTCATTAAAATGCAATGAAAGATACTTCTAAATGGAAAATAATATATAAAGAATAACAGATAATAGAATTTGAATTATTAAAACTAATTCAGTAAAACAATATTAATTCTTTAGTAACCTGAAGTTACCGGGTACCAACTGTTAATGTTTCTTGCGACTGTAATGCTATTACTAACAGGAAGCTGGACCTATTTTGCTGCTATAATTGTTATTAAACACCTCAATAATGTGCCCTAATACTTGAAGTAGTTTGAATACCTCTGACAACATCTGATGCTTCAGCTCAAATTTGTTTAACAGCATTGTAGTAGAAGACATGTTGGCACTGTTAAACTCTTCTGCTTGCTGATTACAAAATTAGGCACAATGCTTTGTAAGCAGTCATACAGAAATGATGCTTACTTTAAATTGTTGTCAAAGTGTTGGTTGTTCATTGTTGTCCATAATATCTTGGTAGATACCAGACTTCAAAAGTCCAGGAACTCAAAGGAGGTATTAATATGCAAATGGATAAAAACAGGCTCTTGCTCAGGATTCAGATAGGTTTTAGGCCTCAGGCATGGCATACTGCCAGAAGACTCAACATGATTTTTCCATGTTTTTGTGAGGGAAATGCAGTATTATGAGAAATTACAGGATCATTTTAGGGCTGGATAAGATTTGAAAACCTAGGTGTTAATCAGGTCCTGCCCACATGCTTATACTGCTGATTACATGTTTCTTTTTTGGTACAACATATTTCTGAAAATGTTGTTTATGACACCTGTCAGAATAATGGGCATGTTATTTATACTTCTCTAAACAATGTTATGTATTAGTAGGTGAGGTCATTGTTTTTTGAGCAGAAATATGGCTGAAAATATTAAAGTGCCAATATGACCAGTCATCATTCAGCAAATTATTATATAACTTGTTTTCCGTATCTAACTAAAACAGAAAACATTTGCCAGTTAATTTCATTTCATTCAAACTCTGTCAGTATGACTATCTGTCAGTTTTTTGGACTTACCAGCTCTGGCTGCATTCAGCGCTTTTATTTTGCCATTCGTTGTAAGTACAGTTGTAAGTATGTTGCAAGCACAATGTCCCAGTCTTATTTATATATCATAATATTATTAAAGTATTAACCAGATACGAAAAAAGGCTTGTTCTTTTTCCTGAGATGATGTAGAAGTTCAGTTTCCCTCTTCCCCATATTACTGAAACAGGATAACTGAATGAGCCCTCTCCATGTGTAATGTAAATGCAAGTTAATTTTTCCTAGAACTTATTCATCCATAAAGTATTAACACATCCTATGCTTAGATAAATAGGTCTTGTATGCTTCTAATATAATCCATTAATCCAGTCTAAAATGTGTTGCAAAATATGAAATTACATACTGAAGGCATCACAACACTTGCTCTCTCTAAAAATTTTTGAAAACTTAATGAGATTTCTAAGAGATGCATGAGTTTAATTAATATGTAAAAATTCTTGAAAGTAAGCTGAATCAGTAATTAAGTTTTAATGATAACTGGGAAGAAGGGGATTGATGCCCTAGCAAAGACTGGAAGACAAACTTCAATGACATGCATTAACCCCTTCCGACAGTGTGCCCCATCCCCAAAATTCCCTCTGTACACACAGAAAAATTGAATGGAAAAGGCTTAATAGGTTACTAAAGGTTAGTTTTGACCTTCTTTATTAATAATAGATGGCAAATTAACATAAACCAGTCCATACATTTCAGCAATGTTTAGTTTTTAAAGACCCTCATTTTTCAAAGAAATCTTGCAGATTTTTTTTTTTTTTTTAGATATAAAAGGAATTGTTAGAAAAGAAATTTCTGTTATTGTCTTAGCTCTATGCTACTCTCTTTATTCTATATTTAAATTTTTACCTCAAAATCGTGCCTGAAATCGGATGACAAACATCTGGTGTGCCCAAAGTGGAATCACTGAAACACCAGACCAGCAACTGTATCACTGTTTTAGTGCAAACTTTTCTTCAGTGAGGCCATTCACTATAGAAAGACATGTGAACAGCTATGTTTCATTTCCTGTTTACCTTTGTGGGGAGGTTTGTTTATCAACTTAAAGATTTGTTTGGGTGTTTTTCTGAAGGTCAGTAGTAATTTGATTTTATTTTTATTAATAATATCAGTTAGCTCTTACACTGCCTTCCTTTCTCTTTTTTGGGGGGGGGGAATTTGTATTTTCTATTTTAAAAGGTAGAGTGCCGGAAAGGGTTAAGCACTGTTTCATGAATACTTGAATGTTATTTTACAACACATACAAAGCCTTCCATTATGCATCATATTTCCATGTTATTTTATGTTTTTTCTTAATAAATTTTTATTAGGCTGTATGTCTACTTAAAATTTTAGTTATTTTTATTCATCTCGCCTATGTTCTGTCTAAATATTGGAAAGATAAAGTAAAAGAACAACTTTTAGTACAAACATTTTATAAAAGTAGTTTATAAAATAAATTATGTATGCATATTTATAAGTGAATTTTATAATTCATTAATCATACTTTTATCGGTTATTTTCAAAAGTGCTGCTGGTATTTGATTTAGGTTTCTATAATAAAATATTCTTTTATCGTAGTTCAGGGTCTTGCAATGTGTATTTTTCTCCTCTTTATGAGGTTATCTTGACCTTAGTGGAAATTATTTTGATACCAACATATTAATGTGTATAAGTGGTGATCAGATAAGAATCATTTATATTATTAAATTTCATACTTTCATCATCAAGGTCTACATAACTTTCACCAGAATAGTTACGTTCTTCTTATGCATACTTAGACTACTGTTTTTATCTGATAGCTATCTTATTCCATCATCATTTAAGCATTTTATTCTTATGCAACATTGTTTAGATTTCACAGTTATAATAAAACCAAACACAACTCATTTTGTACGAGGGCAATCCCCCCAAAAAAAGGTCTCCTATATTTTTAGATATACAAAGAATCGTTTATTTTCTATAATTGCTACATCACTTTAAAGATTGAAGAATGCTTTATTTTTCAACATAATCGCCATTTCAGTTGATGCATTTTTGTAGACGCTGTGGCAGTTTTACAATGCCCATGTCATACCAGCTTGCTGCCATGCCCTTCAGGAAGCATTGAGGAGCTTCATGAGCATCCAGAGTGATCCTCCGATCTTTACACATGAGTTCCTCAACTTTCGCGATTGTCTCGTCGGCAATTGATGGCCTCCCGCTCCTTTCTTTGTCATGAATTTCAGTACGACCGGCTGTAAACTCTCTACACCACTTGCGAATGTTTTTGACATCCATACACTTCCGTCAATAGGCGGTAAATTTCAACCGGTTTAACGTCTTTTGCGTTCAGAAATCGAATAACTGCGCGCACTTCGCGGTAACGTTTATTGGGAGCTCCATTTTGAATGGCTGCCAAAGCCAAGACTGAGCATCTGAGCGAAGCGCCTGCGTGCTTATGTGGTAGCGGAGAAGGCACCATTCACAACAATGTTGCCAACAACCGTATTAAAACTTTCTCTATGTCCCGAAAAAATAGGAGACTTTTTTTTGGGATTGTCCTCGTAATACACTTCCATTAGCTTTTCTTGTCTTGTAGTGTTTGATATCCAAGAGTTGCAGCACTTTACTGTGGGCATTCTGAATAGTTTTAACTTTTTCTAATTCAGGTGATGGTAAATTGCAAAAGCAGACTTGTTTTGAAACCTTCTGTTAAAACTATTTTTGCACTTTAAACAACTCTTTTCATATTCCAGTAGCACTCGATAAATTTTGTTTGTTCACCTGGAGCAATTATTTGAAATCTGTTAAATCCGAAATGGGGGAAAATTATCAGCTATTAAAAGTGTACATAATTTTTTGGGAGACAATCCTGTTTCTTTTTCATCTGGCATTAAGCAAATAAAAGATTATGAAGTCTAAATTTTGTAACTGAAATTAATTTTTTATAGTTTATTTGAGTGTCGGTTTATAAAATGCGAAATGATACTTTTGCACAGATTTATGTCAATAGCTGTGTTTATCATAACATTAAATAAAAATTTATAACATTAATTAGAATTGCTAAAAAAATATGCAAGTTCTTTTTGTCAGTAGCTCTAACACTGAGCATCCTGTGAACTGCTCTTTATTATAGTGATACCGTAATTTCCGGAAGAAACGCCGTGGCGTTTACATGTTACATTAAAACTTAAATTTTCAGCGGGTGCGGCGTTTCTACCCATGCGGCGTTTAGGTGCACTAAAAATAAAATATTTCCTATGATGGCCTTGTCATTGTGCATAGACTGGTGCTGTTCCCACACAGAAGACCACTCAGTTGCTTTTTGCGAACGTTTTTCGTTTACATTCTTTCCCTTGAATGGACCTACATGCCTTATTCACCCTAAACGAGATCTCAGAACAATAACATTCTTCCCCCTTTCAAATCAACACTCTCATCAGTTTGAATAGTCTCTCTCCTCTGCCATTCGATGAATCTTCCAGGACCCATCCTCCCCCACCCCTGCCTTTTTGCAATTTTTTCAAAGGTAGACACGACTCCACCTGCCTTGCAATAACAAACTCTGACGTATTTCCCCTTCGGCATGAATGGATTTTTCTTGGCATTCTGCCAGATACAGATCCCATCAGTTTGGGTACAAGTACTTGTTGAATGGTTTTAAGTAAGAAGGGAGCGGAAAATTTTTGAAAATGTCCCTAAACGACACAGAAGCTATACTCCTGGTTTTAAGCTTAATGTAATTTCACGTGCTGAACAAATTGGAAATCAAGCAGCAGCTCGAGAGTTTGAAGTGGATGACAGATGTATTCGACGTTGGAGAACTGAAAAATAACTTCTTAAAAATATGCCACAACAGAAATGAGCCAAAAGAAGTGGTACTGTAAGGTGGCCAAATCTAGAGGACGACCTTGCAAACTGGATAAAGGAGCAACGAGGAAAGCAAATGGCAATTTCGACTGTAAAAATTCGCTTACAAGCAAAATTTATAGGCAAAACGAAATGAACATAAATGATTTCAAAGGAGTGCCTAGCTGGTATAGCAGATTTATGAAAAGAAAAAATATTTCTGTGCGTACTAGAACAACAGTCAGGGCAACAATTACAATTACAATGGACTGGCAGGATAAAAAAAGTCATCTTTTCTAAAATATGTGACAGATATTATTGACAAAAAAAACTTCGGCGCAGATAATAAATATGGATGAAACGCCATTAGCTTTTGACTCTCCTGCAAACAGAACTGTTATGAAACTGGTGCAAAAACTGTATCTGTGTTATGACGGGGCATGAAAGAACGTCATTTACATGTGTGTTAGCTTGTGCCGCAAACGGTGACAAGCTAAAGCCGATGATCATTTTTAAACGAAAGACTATTCCGAAGAGAGATTTTCCTAATGACGTAATTATTTGTGCAAACGAGAACGGCTGGATGTGCGAAACAATCATGCATGAGTGGCTACAAAAAGTTTGGCAGTGTCGTATGGGATCTTTTTTCCAACCAAAAGGGTTATTGATAATGGATTCCATGCGTGCTCATTTACTTGAGTCAGTGAAAACCAGATGTCAAAAATTGTCTACGACCGAAGCAATAATTTCTGGTGGTTTGACAAAAATCTTAGAAATGTTAGATTTGTCAGGTAATAAATCCTTCAAAGCTGAAGTCCGAAAGCGGTGGGAGTGTTGGATGAGTGAAGGATTGCATACGTAAACCAAAATCAGTAAAATGCGTAGAGCATCTTATGTAGAAATTGCAAAGTGGGCAGGAAGTGCATGGAAATCGGTAGAAACATCGTCAATAATAGCAGGGTTCAAAGAAGCTGAAATTATATCCTTAGATAAAGAGACTGTAAACCAAGAGGATGAATGTGACGATCTGGAAGACTTAGTTAGATCAGGATTTACTAAATCTTTTTAATTCAGATAGTGAAGAATCAGATTTTGATGCCTTCATATGATGTACAGTTTGCTGTAATTCATAAGAAAATTTAAAATTTCCTTTTGTCATCCAAATTTAATATTTCATTGTTGCAACATTTTTTATAATATAGTCTGAGTATTACAAATATGGACTTCTTTAGTGGGTAAATATAAGTATATACGTGAAGGTAAATATATTTTCCACATTTCTTACCTTTATTTTTGAGTTATGGTTTCATTTCATGCATTTTTCTTAACTGTTATGTCATATATCAGGACTTAGGTTGAGGTTTTGCATCTATACGGCCCACGACGTCACACACAATTTAATCTATTGTGGCGTTTCTGTGTAATTTTAATTTTTTTCCCACCATTTTTCTCGAGTGCGCCGTTTACGCTGATGTAGCCTTTCTTCCGGAAATTATGGTAGTTTCTTTTTATAGTTCAGAAATTTTATAATTTTCTTCATTGAAAACATGAACTTTCATTAATATGACTTAACGGAGATCTGAAAATAGCATTAAAGAAGTAATGGTTTCCAGAATACTCCAATCATTCAAAATGGTGATAATTTCAATTATTTCTCTTGTGTCTAAAGCAGCATTTACATGATGAATTAGTGGCATAAGCAGTACAACTAGCATAAGAAGAACTTCACTGCTAGGCAACTAGACATTGGCTGTCTTATTGAAATTGGTAAAAGAATTTTGCTTAATTATTCCAATTTTCCAACTTAAAAATGTCACAGAAACCAACTACTCATTGCAAACTAAATGAGCTGAAAACCTGTAGACACATTCATAATATACTTAAATTTATTTTCACTACTGACTACAGCTTAAACCCTGTTCAATAAATGTGAACAAATCTAATAACTTATATGCCTTATTATGTCAGTAGCAGTTGTGATGTTTAAGCTTCTTGTGTGAATGCTACCTTGAAATTTGGACTAAGAGCCTGCTGTACATGAATGAGTTATAAATGGCATCTTAATTGACTGATTATTATTAGAATGTAGCACTATGTGATAAAAATGTGAGCATGGTTAGTAAATAATGGCAAAATGCATAAGAGGACTCTGCTATGGAAGGGCATCTTCATGGGGATTTCTTATGAGAAACAGGCTTGCATTTATATTATACATGAGGAAAACCATTAAAGATCACAACAGACATCCACCATAATAAGTAACTAAAATTAGATACAATTGTTAGTATTCTGTAGTTTCTGTTTATGTCTCCTGATTTTTTATTTAAAATTATGATAGTTGAATCAAAAAATGATTAAATTTCAATCTCATCACCAGATCCCTCCATAAAACACTTTCCTTTTCAGGTTGCAGTAGTTAGTTTATTTTCAATTATCTGCAACATTTTTTAAGGCATTCTAGGAATATTTGGATGACTACAGGTTTATAATTTTGTCTTCTATACAAAATTTGTTTACTTTTTTAACTACAATGCCTGCTTATTTCTTTTTAGGGGCCGATCTCCCGAATGGTACAACAGAGCTTATGGACAAATTTGTGTGCTTTCGTTAATAAGATTAAGAAATTCATTTTCCCGTAGTGGTGCAGATGGGCCGGAAACTAAAGTGTAAAAGTGCCAACTAACTTTCAGTTCTTAAAGATCAATGTATATATTTCAAATTTTATGACTATGGCATCAAAGACTGATGTGTATAAAAAAGTTCTTATCTATCTATTTAAGAAAAAACTAGTCAGACGACAAAGAATAAACATGTTAAATTGATTCATTTTATTTCTTTCTTTAAGGAATGTATTGTGGAAAAAATAAAATGTACATATTCAATATTTCAGACATTGCTTTTTTGTCGTAAAAAGTTATTTATTTTTTCTTACTGAGTTTTAGTAGCTTTAAGCACAAATAGTATTTTCGTGATTATGGAACTGAATGGTTAAACTAAATTATTTTTAGCCTTATGATAAGAAATCAAGTAAAATTTTGTTTTGTTAAAAGATGGGCATTATAACATTTTAAGTTTTATTACTAAGGCAACTAAAAACGACAAACACAAGGAAAGGTATTTAATGTATTTTCAATGAAATGATTATAGATAGTTTCATAATAATTTATCAAGTAACTAATATTGTAAATATGAAATGGTTAAGAACATAAAGATGGAACAGGCTGATTATTAAAATGGACAGCTCAGAGTAGAGATATGCAAGATATAAATGTTTATTTTAGAAATGCTAATAAGAAAATTTTCTGAAAGTCTGGGAACTTCAGTTTATTTAATGCCACTTGTTACCAAGTTAAGAATATATCATCTGGTCTCAATAGACTCTTATTTGTGAAAATGTTACAGATATTAATGTTAAAAGACATATTTTTGTAACATCAGTGACATGCAAGTTATGGTATAATCATTTATTACATATGAATAATTTGGTTAGTATTAAGTTTAAATGAATAGAAAATTTAAAAAAATCCTATTTTAAATTAATATCATTGTAGCAATCTGCAATCTTTCTTAGTAAGCTATCTGAGGTACAAATATTAGATATACCGGCTGAGATACAAGTTTCCCATGATGCTGTGAATAAATGCTTGCCTTTGTATTTGATTGTAAATGTTGTTTGGAAAAAAAAAAAAAAAAAAACCATGACTGTAGAATTTATTTTTTTAAATACTGATTTCATATAAACTCTTTCTATTAAAATGTTTCTTAAAAAAAGGCACAGAGTTCTATGAGAGTTTTAACTCTGTGGGTAGCAAAGTTCTATAGAAGTAAAACCTAATGTATGTTCATTGTAGAATACAAATTCCAGTATGTCAAAAAATAAATTCAATATATTTATGACCAAAATTCATAGAAATGTTCATAAAACATTTTCAGAGGGTCAGCTAGAAATTTAATTCCGAGTGCTGCTTTTGTCCAACATGGAATAATTAAATTCAGAAACAAGCAACCTGTTTAGTAGCTGCTCCTAAATCTACTCAGAATCCTGATTTTTCATGATTGAATACTTCCAAAAATTTTGTAACATCATGAATTTTGAAACATAATGAATATTTTACATACTTTCATGTTTAGATGTGATAAGGACTATGTAAAACATTTTATTTTTAGATATTCATCCTACACCCAGTGTATTCAAATTACTTTTATCAAATGTTTCAAAACTTATAATACTTTGTAATTGGAAGTAAATGTCTGGGATCAGTGTTTTAAGGAGATTAAAACCAATTTGTTTGACACTTTTTTTATTAAGAGTACGTCTCTATATTCATAAGAAATTTAATATAGCAAACTTTTAAAATTAAATTAGATAAACAAATTATGGATTTAGCTATATAGGTAGAAAAAAATAGATTATAAATGCATATATTGTTAACGAAATCGGAGTTAATATTTTGGAAAGACCATTAATCTAAATCAACATATCATGCCATCTATTTATGTGAGAAATCTCTGGAAAGCTGATATAGAATGTGTAATGGAAATAATAAATTAAGTACTGTCATTGCCATCAAAAACTGTTCCCAGAATTTTCAGGAAAAGTTTTGTTATGAAAATGAAGTTGAACTCATTACTTAACTAGCTGGTGTTTATATTAGCCAGATGGGAAAACCTCCAAGTTTTACTAGAATTGCATCATATTGTTGCGTGCATAGATTGAATGCACAAGTCTGATGAACAGTTGATAAAATTTATTCTTATCACAAGAAATAAAAACAAAATGCTGAAATTTTTCCTTGCAGATATTTATACAATACCACACAGTAGTTATATTTTAAACTACTAAAACGTTAAACACAACACGATTCAAACGCAGAAAGCTAATCCGATCTCACCGCCGTGAATTCGTTACAGTCAACAACAACAAATAAGTAAACAAGTAAACTGAGATGTCTTCGTCCAGCGTTTATAAGCAATTTAACCATGCACAAGAACATTCTGGTACTTTCTCGAGGTTTCTGGAAAGCAAGAGTACAATTACGATATATCTATTTATTACATGCACGTGCTCCTGTATTTTTACTTTTTCGGATTAGGTTTCTCTTAAAACTCGTCATGTGCTGCATTACACGGGGAAATAAAACAATTTTAATTCCAACTCTACTAAAAATAACTAAATACAAAATCCATAACAATATTAATAGAAAAAGAAGAAACAAATTTCATGCGCTAAAAATGTTGGAATGTTCATGAATTGCAAAAGAAATCCATGACCTCTGATTTATAATAAGGATCAATGATTTCAATAATGTTGTTCTGCAATAAGATTTGCTGGATACTCTTTGTAATTTAGTCCTAGTTTATTATGAAATCATGCTGTATTAGCCATTGTTTTTTGAGAAGTAAGTTTTTTTAATGGATAAATTGTATTTTAAGGCAGAAAAAATTCTTTTTCTAGAGGAAGTTATTACTATATGCCAATCACTAATGTATTAGTATAATTATTTACATGAGTACCACAAAATGCAGTACCCAGTTTTAGTAGTTTTAAGCAAAAACAGTATTTTCATGCTGACTGAACTGAATGGTTTCATGTTCTCATAAAATTACAGACTTCTTTTGACTCATCCAAAATAATTTTGAAGGCAGTTTTATTTTTAATATAAATAAATTTTCCTGCGTAACAGATGCTGTAAATGTTCAGAGACTAATACATTGGGGTTTACTCCATAATCTAAATTATAAATATATATCAGAATAAAACCTCTCCGCTAATCTATGGGTAAAGGTGATAACTGATAAGAATACAAGTAGGCTGTACTATTTTTTATGCAAATAAAAAGAGCTCAGCAAGGGAGAACTCCTGCACCACACAAAATATTATCTGTTTGTCTGTTTGTATCTAATGTGAAAAACAGTATATTAGAGCCTCAGTAGACAAAATTTTACCTCATTGTAAGAAACTGAGACTCATTAATTTTTTTAAAACCATATATAGAAAATGTATGCATTCAAGACATCTTTGCTTATTTCTTTTTGATGGATTGATAGAAAAAGATAAATATGACGTTTTGGATCCCACACTGTGTTCTTGTCTAAAAGTATTCCTGATTTGTGGCACTTAAACATTAGATCTGGCACTATGAAAATGTTGCAAGAGGACATCCAGCAAATATACAAATGCCCTGATATTACCCTGATAAACCCAAACACACAAGTTTTTATTTTTTTATTCAAGTGAATACAACAAAGCACATTCGGGGGCCATCTCTTACTAAAGTTATTGAAACTCAATAACTTTAATTAAGTAACTATGCCAATGTGAACTACATAATATGCAGATGTATTATATCTGAAGCTGGAATTAACAAATAATTAGATGTTTTCCCATTCAGTGTTGCTCAAAATGCTGCCAGACCACTGAAATCTTTACATAGGAATAGCATATCACCAAGAAATTTCTGGTGCTGAAATTTTTCATTGAATATTGTGTGTTTGGTGAACAGACTGAAAACATCTGTCAGTATTTAAATACTGTAAACATTTTCATGAAAGCTGTGACTCCATCAACAGATAATTTTGAATTCTTGGACAGTTACTGTCCACAAAGTTTCAATCAACTACAGGTAGAAGCAAGAGAATTCTATGGATATTATCATTTTGTCAGTGGATGCAAAAACAACTTCATTTTTACCACAGAAACAGGAAGGGCCAGTGCTATGCTGTCGTCATCTGGTGTAGTCTTCGCCGCTGTTAATTTCTGACATATCAGTTGGTTGCACAGGCTTTGGCAATAGTTCAGATTTGTCGAGAATTCACAGTTGGTATGACTATGAAAATGATTTTCTGCTGCATATCATTATGAAAGATAAATTATTGTTGTATTAACTATACTACATGCCTGAAAGAAAGAAAATGTTGGAAGCATGGAAACATGTATGTCTAACACATTATTCACCCAAGAAGTTATATATAGTAAAATCATGGCAATGATATTTTGGGACCTCAAAAGTACTGTGTATGTGAATTTCTTGAAAGAGGAAGACTATAAATACTTCATACTACTTTTTTATAAAATCAATGGAATGTACTGCCATATGTGCCTTGTAGTCCTGAACAACTGTAAAAGATTTCAACACTTTTGGCCCTCAGAAGGAGCATTTTAGAGGGAACAAAATGCTATACATATATGATAATGATTCAGGCTGTTCTATGGTTTTTCAAAGAACCAATAGAATTCTAAGCTGCCAGAACAGACAGTATCTTCTTGATTTTTCTGTGATAGTAGACATTTGATAGCAACTTATGTATGTAGATGTATGTCCAATTTTTTAAAGCAATTACAGGTACTCTTCATATTTAGAATCTTAGACAAACTTTTATCAACATGAACACTGAAATTAAATATTGTAGTTATTTATTTTCCAGATCCCTTACTAAATATTTGGCTGATAGTTTTCTGCACTTCAGTTTAAATATATGAAATACTCAGGTATCCAAAAACTAGTTCATTTGCATAGTTTGTTATGAAGGGAAAAAAACCTTCTCATTTGAGAAATTATAAATTATCAGATTAGAAGGATGATGGCCAATGAAAAGGATAATTCTGAAGAGCAAAATAAACAGGGCAGATATGTATTGATTTGTCTAGAAACTAATTTTTTTTTTTCCTGTAAGACAGTTTTAGCACCATTTAGATGCATTTAACATTATTTGAAATTGTTTTTAACCGAAAGCATTATAGCACCTGTAAGGCTTACATATGTATTTATTATAAAAATGCCTATATAAACATTACAGGTGCACTTTCATCACATTTTACTGCAGACATCACAAAAAGGTCTGTGCTATGAAACCAACAGAATGCACCAACAGAATGCACATGCCACAATATTTTGCAGTGTTTCGTTCTGGTGGTTTTAGAGTTCAAGTTCTTCCATACTCTGATAGACAAAGTGATATTGATTATGACAAATTAAAAGCACTGACTGAACCTGATTATGCAATAGTCAGCTTGCTGAAATTCTATATTCATCCAAAATAACAGCTAATGATCATTTAAAGAAGACTTAATTATCAAAATAAAAAATTGTTCACAGTAAATTAAATGTAGAAGTTTATGGTCCATGTCTGAGCTAGCTTAAAAATTAATAAAAGTTAAATGGTCATCAATAAAAGTAATGTTATAAGTTTAGAGTGATTATAAGGGAATTGGTTATTTTGGGCTTTTACCAAGGAAGAAACAAGAAATTCCAATGTGTACTATAACTAACTGATAAAACAAATATATTTTGCATTAGAAACATCCACAATTGTTTAATAGTAAAGGTACTGTGTAATTATTGGAGCTACTGAATCTTGGTTGGCATGTATTACCACTTCCACTATCTAACCCTGAAACTGCACTATCAAACAATTGCTCTTTCATACTCTACAAATTTTTTGTCCAGTAAAAATCTTCATTTCAAATAACATTAAATCATTCTAGGAATATTTTTCTGTTTTTTGAAAAATAAAATCGTGAAATAGCCTAGAAGATCGCAAAAGGCTATTAAACAAAATGATCAACACATTACTGATTACAATTGCTTCTATAAAAACTGCTTAATGAGAAAACAAATCAATTTCCAGACAACTCAATAATTTAAAAACGACGTTTTCAGGAAAAATTCTTTTACACATAAAAAAATTTGAAACCTATGGAAATTACATAAATTAGAATAAAACACTCCTTAAATGCAACTCTATTGAAAAATTTCATTAATTCATAAAAATCTTTGAACTTGACTTACACTGCATATTTAAATACATCAAATAACAACTTGTTGCTGCCCAGGTGGAATAGTGGTTAGTGACTCTGACTCTTTGACCCAAGGCCTGGGTTCAAAACTCGGAGAAAGCATGGATGTACGTAAATGTATAGTGTCTTTGAGGCACTGGAACTCTAAATTAAATATATGGCAAGGTCCTCTTGTGTGGTTTAGTAGTAGGGGGGAGGGAAAACTTCGCGTTCCCCCTAAAAACTGGGATGTAAGTAGAAGTCCAACATCCTTGCAGCTTTCACAACCATTCTCTCATGAAATATGGACTCAACAACAAACCAACCACAAACTGTTTATATTTCTGCATAGTTTATTAAGAAATGAAAAATCGTCCAAATAATGTATACACAAAGAATCAATAACAGAAATGTATACATTTTGTGCTTAGTATACAGTAAGCAACTTAACACAAATAAAACCCTTACCTTTTTTTTTTTAAATCTATGTACACATATTGCACACAGAATTTTTATTCTTATGTTAATTCTCTTTCAAAACAAAAAATCAATAAAGTACAGGTGATTAAAATTTATAAAATTTTATTAAGGAATGAAGCTTAAAAAGGAATTCAATATGGCATAAAAATATCCTAAAATAAAGACCATTTATCACATAAATGAAATGCATTCATGCAGTAAATCAAAACTATGCATGGAGAAAGAAAGTTGTTGCATAAAAATCCTCATTAGAAGCTATGCAATATGAAAATTTAAAAAAAAAAAAAAAAAAAAAAAAAAAAAAAAGCACTTCCTTCACAAAGTGATACCAAAGTCAACTGTACAACACACATATATACTCTAAAATAAAGTTCAACAAAAAATGAAAACAAAAGATGAAATACTATGAAAATATTTAAACAAGTTAAAATGAGAAACTAAACAGGAATGAAAAGTAACAACTAAAATGTATATAAATCTACAAGTTACTACACTATGTAAATAAAATCAACTTCAGTAATAAAATGCAGCTCAGCATATATTTTAAAACATAATGCAACACCTTTAAACAGACTAATATCAACAAAGCAACAGAATGCTTTAAACTCTTTGACTATGAACAGATGTAAATGGACGGATGCTATGTTTGATATCCCTTTATGTATATAAATGCAAATGTTATAAACAGTTGAGAAATACTCCTTACAATAAACACTTTCAACAACAAATGAAATGTTAAAATAGTACATCTCAACCATACAAAAGTGAGGCTTAAAATGTATTTTGTAAATAAATATTAAACAAATTTCTGAAGGCACTTGCATTGTAAAGGCACAACTCAAAACATTGTGAAGTCATAACAACTCAGAAGGATACAGGAAATAAAACATTATATTAATCTAAAAATAATACAACACCTATATGTCTAGTCTGTAACTAAATGCTCATAACCATCAACTGCTATAAAGCAGTCAAAACACGATCATAAACTGAATTAAAAATTTAAAATTAAATAAAGATACCACCCACCTAACAATCAACTTCTCATAAAACGTGCAGAAATAATGAAAGATATGTCTGTCATATGAAAATACATACATATATATATTACGCAGAATAGGTAGAGGTAGAACTTTTTGGTGTAGCAGATCTGGTGTTGGATTGTGGCTTTGTAGAGTCTTCAGAATGCCTTGAAAATGACTGCTGCTTTACAGAGTCTTCAGAATGTCTTGAAAATGATTGCTGTTTCACAGAGTCTACAGAATGTCTTGACAAGGAATGGGACTGATTCAAGCTGCTCATTGTACCCATCTATAGTTCAGTAAAATTAAAACATACAAAACATGTATTAATTACTATTTGACTTATGATGTGTCTAATATAAAGTCTATAAAATAATAAAATATTAAATTTATTTTTAAAATTAACCTAAAATTATACAGCGAGTGAAAATGACAATGAATAAAATATTTAAAGCTTTAATAAATAAATAAATAGGGAGCACAGTATTAAAATTTGTTCATTGCATTATATTAACATTTATTTTACAAATAAATTTGCCTAGTTTTCATGTGGAAATATTTATGCACATTTCAGAATACACAGTATACTGCACCAACAAAACTGAAGAAATACATATGAAGAAAACCCCAAAAATGTATATATGATTTGAATTATGATAAAGTTCTTGTTTATTAATATACTCTTTACTTTCGAAATTTAAAATACAGAAATGAGTAATATTGTGAATGACTGTTTTTAAATGTAGCCTAACTGCTTTAACTATTCCTTCTTGGAAAATGTGCATCTTCATGGCACATCATGCCAAATACTACTTCCAAAACTGCACTCTCCAGACCAAATTATCTTCGCTGACAGTATGAAATATTCTTGGAATGTAACTTTTCTAATGACAGGATTTGAAAATGTATGGACATGTGATTTTCAGATTCCCATCTGATGACTTGCTTGCCTCACATATTTTCTTCACTTCTGAGAGTACATATCCATGAACTTTTCTAGCTTTGTGTGGCTTGCTGATGTTCATGCTTTTCCAGAAAATTTTCATGGATATTTTGAACAATTCCATCTGCTTCAAACTTATCTCTAATTCAAGTGGTCGTAATTTGCATATGTGGATCTATTAACTTTCTCCTATATTGTCTTTCCACCTGATTTGCATTTTCAAATTTATAGGTATTTAGGATGCATTAAATAAAGTGATTATTAGAAATTGTATATACATTTTGGCGCACATGTAGTATATGTAACATACACACTTCTAAAAAAGAATGTGAGATATCTTTTTCCGAGATATTTAATTTCAATTTGTATATTTGATGCCATTTTCCACTTGCTTTGAAAAGTCAGTTGCTAAATAAATTACAAAAATTCAAGCTCATCTCCCCCTTAAATGCCATTTAACCACATTCCTTTGTAATACATAATATTATCGAGTATCTATATCTCAATATTCATAACTTTTATTCTCTTAGATTCATAAAAAAGTTCATTAAAACAGAAATATTTCTTCATTTTTAATCTATGAAAACAATTTTATGGTGAAATACTGAAGCCAGCGTTTTCTAGAACACAAATTCTATAAGTTTCAGTAAATAAAATTTCATTTTTGAAAAAAAATTATATTGATTAATATTTCACAAGATAAACTGCATACATTTCCATCAACTGTGTATCAATCTGAATACACAACTGATCAAATGTACGTATCAATCTGAATACACAACTGATCAAATGTACGTATCAATCTGATACACAATTGCTCAAATGTATCAATTTCAATACATTTCAATCAATCTTTTCACAATTAGCATCAAGAACCTTTTCTAAACTGTATTTTTAGTTAAAATATAAATGCAAGCATTCTCCTTTTTTTATTTGTGTATGGCCCCTAAATATGATTTCAAACTTTAAAATGAAATATCTCGGTCAATTTTGTTGTATGAGTCATATACTTTTTGCATTTTATTTTTTCATAACGAATATACAATTTTCCAAAATGTATATTTGTTTTGGAATGTATAAAGAGGGGGAATGTACACCTGGAGAATGTATAAAGAGTTTTCACAATTTTTAGAAATTTATTTTCTTAAATTTAAAATGCAAAAACATATATATTTGCATCATTCAACACTTTCTGTAACCAGAAGTACATATCTATAACCATGTAGTGAAAACAAGGGCCAGGTACAGACTTTAGCGGATAAAGTTTATAATACATACTTTGCACCTTGCTTGTTTATGTAATAAAAATTTATCACAAGTATTAATTATTCAGAAAGGTATTCATTATTTTTTTTTAATTGCACAGTATGTTTGACACTTTTTGATCTTATAATGTTAGTAACAGGAAGGAAAAGAAAATAAAGAGCAACACATTTTCAGTTTTTAAAGTTATTAAACATATCTGAAAAGGGCAAATAAAAATACCAACTTTACAGCTAAAACAAATTTAACAAATAGCATCACATCCAATGTTAAGATATACCTTATCAACTAGGAAAAAATGTTATCAAAATAAGAATTTAACATCACAGAAAAAATGGCACTCAGCACTGCAATATTGGCATAAACAAAAAGAAAATTAATTTCTTTATGATTTTACGTTACTGAAATTTACTCTTTTATAAGGAGGAAAATTAAGATTACTGATGCATCACACATTTGCATTACAATTTTACAATGCATTACAATTTATAAGAAATTAATATATAAATCTTCACTCAAATTCATTAATTCATTAAATTCTCTCCCCCCTCAAATTCATTATTTCATTGATTTCTTTTATAGTAAACTATTTTAGACAAACACTTTTTGATGAAATTTTGAACAGTCTGTCTTTTCTTTCTACAAGCTCAAAAGAACTTTTGGATTTGAATGCCGAAACATTTGTGCCACTACAATCTATCCACAGTTAAACGGGGATATATCATGTGCATGACCATGAAATGTTAAAACATGTTACTTATTAAATGAATACTTTATTCCATAGTCACATCCACAACAAAAGTAGCAGATAGAAAATTAAAGAAAGTTATATCTAATGTTTCAGTACTTTATTGATAAAATATATAAAAAACAAAATTTGGGGAATAAACCAAAACAAAAATTCTTAGCCATGAAATGAGAATAAGGTATTAGTGTCCTTACATTAATGAACACTAACTTAACACTTTTATAAATTAAACTTATAATGTTCCATAATCAAACACAGAAGTGAAGTAAAAAAAACATTTTCATTTTCTGTTACTTTTAAGTTTAATTTCCGTTGTTGTGGTAAAGAAAACCAAACAGCCAAATATTATTAATAATTCTTAGCTGACAATGAATCCAGAAAACTTTGCACAAATTTAAAGTAACATCAAGTTACAATCGACAGATATTTTTTTAATATCCAGAGAAATCATAATATAAAGTTTATGGTTTAAAAGTTACAAAAATAGTCCTGCAAGGGATTTTGACCTTACAGAAGTACTGCTCACAGAAAAAGAACTTGCAGAAGGTGTGAAAATTCAAGTGAAACTACATACCTTTAACTTAGCCATATCTTCTAATCTTGTAATATCTGCTAGCTCTTGATAATTTGACATGACAATAAGCCACATGAAAACCTGGAGTTAAAAAATACAGTTGTTAAATTAATAGAATCTGAAAGATGATAATTTTACAACAGCAAATTATTCAGTGCCTTTCCAAAATGTAAAAAACACGCCTAGAAGAAAATAAATCTTGCACATTTTTTCAATTCTAAAAAAATCAAAAACTATACCACAAAATGAAAAAAGAAATTCATATATAACATTTAAAAATTACTGCATTCTCATGAATGCTAAAAATCTCATTAGAATCAAGCTAAAAATGAAGAGAATAAAATGAATTCATTTAAAGTCTAAATAATATACATTTTTGAGAGGAGCAGTCTTAAAACAGTGAGATTGATATCATACAGTCAAAATAAAAACCACTTTAAAATTTCCCTGTATGTGTGCAAACACTTGTACTTTCAGTCACACAGTGGTACATCATTAAGATGCTTCACTAGTTCATTCATGCAATAACCCACTATCAGTTTAATGTTCAGTTCAGGCATGTTCAATAACCCACTATCAGTTTAAATATATGGAGGTTAAGAGCAACTCTCCAGTTCTGGGTTCATTAAATATAACCACTACTAAGAGTCATGACATATTTAAATAAAACATGTACAAATGATGAGAAGTGTCTGTAACAGTCACCTCATTTCTAGTGGTTTTCAGTGTTGATTAAAGAAATTAAGTTCAATACCAATAAAGGAATCATTTGCAAAGACCAGCAAATGATCACCAAGGAAGTTGTATGCAATGTAAATTCCTGGTAGTTCCATCAAAAATACTGTGAAAAACAGGTAAGAAGAGCTGCTGATGCCTCTGTGTACAATACTGTTACGAATTTTTACATAGATATGTGATTTTAGTGCAGTTATATGTAAACTGTATTTTTCTGTATAACATGAAAACCCAGAGAGACAATTTTACAATGCATTACAATGATTTTACAATGCATTACAAGACGATGCTAGGATAGAAAAGTAAGGATACAGGGGAAAGTCTATTTACATTGAGTAAATGGCTATTTTGATCATTTGGCAAGATATTGCCAAGTTGGCAACTTTTTTGGTGACTAATTTTTGGCGCTAAATTTGGCGACATTTGGTTTGGTCCCTGGATATTGTAATTGATGTTCTGTGTCAGCCATCATATGCCTTCCAGTAATTTGAAGAAGCAGGCTACTAGTACCTGCAGGAGGCTGGCACTGCAATCACAGAGGATGGAGACAGCATTTTTGCATAGCTCCAAAATTTTTTAATATAAGTTTCAGTAAATGTTTTCAATTGTCTAAAAAAGTTTATTGCACATTTCCTTTGCAATATCTCATCAGTCAAACTGAAGATGGAAACTCTTATCTTCTTCACTGATCATCTCTACACGAGTAAACAAAAACAAACCCTGACACAGAATATTCAGATAAGTATCCTTTCTTTTCTCTAAAGAAAAGCAAATTTTGTATCACTGAAGTGCCTTTAAATATCTTTATTTATTATTTTCGTAAGATTCTGCCATTATACCATAGTTAGTAATTACTTTAAGTAATGTGTTTTTTTTTTTTTCCTGTGTGTGTAATTATTCCATAGAAACGCCACAATTTTATCTGCAGTCACTACCCTTCGGAGGTCCCCCTTTCTTGCTTAGAAATTTCTTGAGAGGGAAAATGGAGGATCTTGAGTATCGATGAATGTATTACATTATGATGTTTGTAACTACAGTCCCCCGGACCTTTTTCAGTTCTGAAACTTAGAATTATGAGCAAATATAAATACAGTGTGCCTGAATTTGTTTAACCAGTACTATAATAAATTACGATAGTTAAATTAATAAATAAATATTATATTTAATTGATAAAATATTTAATTAATATTAAAAAATAAACTCTATAATTTATTTATTTATTTTTACTGATGTGCTCGCACACTGTGTATGGATTTATAATTTTGGCAAACGCTATTCTTCTGAAATATATATGAATTTTTTGGGAACGGTAATAGTTAATGTTACTTTAGTTAATAAATAATATGTACTTCTTTGGGATGTTACGTGTCTTTTGTAGCTAGGTCTCAAGATAAAGGCAAACACATTGCCATGTAAGGACTTACCTTTTTTTTTTACTTAGTTTGGACTTAGTTAGGACACTGCATTCATTTGCAAAAATTAGTGTCTTAAGTTTGCTTCTTAAGACACTAATTTTTGCAAATGAATGCAGTGTCCTTCCCTTTTGTCTATACTCATGGATACAATCATATTTTAGGAAATTTTATACTTCTTTTCCTTTTCTTTTTATAGGCCTTTTTTTTATTAATTTATTTGGGCCTTTTATTTTGATTTTATTTTGTCGCATCTTTTTGTGATGGCCTTTCGAACTCGTACAAAATGTACGAAGTTCTTTTTACTCTCCTCTGAAATACAAAATTGCCCTCTTTCTCCCTCTGAAATACCTTTCTTTTGCACCTAAGCTTGATTTTTCGCTCATCAGTGCAGAAAGACTTAGCGGGTGCAAAACAAGACATCTGTCTACTTTGTTTCAAGAAGCAGAAACTATTAGAACTATCTCGGCGGTCGGGCGAAAACTATCTGCTCTCAGTAGCAGTTGTGAGTAATCATTAGCTGTTTAGTTCAGCATAAGTTTAAAGTATTGAGAAATCTGTGTGAGCTTCACCTTTAAGATGCACTTTGCATTGCATTGTCTTTATTATTCTTAGTAGTCTGAAGTGCAACTACTGATTGATACATGAAGAGCTGTATGACTATATCTGTGAAAAGTTCCAAAACTGTTAAGTGTTTCTTTTAGAAAAATAAATTTTATCAACCTATCATTGGACCTGTGTGCATTCAATTTATTACAAACCCATATGGATGAATCAATGCTTTGGTAACACCCTGCTTTAACCTTGATATGAAAAGTTCTAATATCATAAAATGTCATCTGACAATTTAAGTCAAGATCCCCATGCAGATGCACTATACCAGTAGTGATAATATCGCACTGTGAATTTCTATTGTACTGTGAATATAGATAAGATGGGTAACTCCTCAAAGGAATGATAAAATTTACCTTACCTAGCTGGCTACAAATTATACCCTGTTCCAGAGGAGTGAATGAAGGTAATAATAGTTTTTACACCTCATGACTATGACAATCATAATAGCTAACTCACTGTCTGAATAATACTTGAGGTGTATGAAATGTTTCAACCATATGACTAGTTGCTGGTCACTGATTAGAAGCTGTAAAAGTAATTGGAAACTGAAGAAGCAAGTATCTGTGATATGCAATCAAATGGCCAGGAGTATTAAAACTGCTGTTATAACTCATTGATGGAATTGTAGTATTTCCAATATGCAGAATTGTGTTAAAGAATATTTTTGTTAATTTTGGTATAAAGGTGCACATGGATTTCACATTGAGCTCTATATGGATTGCTTCATTTCTTATGAATCATCCGTAATTAATGGCTTAACTTAAAAACAGTGTTTTGACCAACTTGAAAGCATTGCAGTTCTTTTCACAAACATTGTCCCAGATGGGACAAGCATAGGTGATAATGGAATACAATATGGATACACAATTTGTGCTCTACAGATAGAAATCTGTTCTAAACAATTAAAGAGGTGAGTGTAGTTTATGAGTTTGGAATTTAGTTTGTTTAAATGCAATGTGAGGCTTCCAAGTCAGGTGCTAATCAAATAAAATTCCCATTTAATTGACTTGTTTGGTCCAGGAAATAGATGAGTTGCACATGATAACCCATTCATTTTCATACACACTGACCTTTTCAGTGAAAAGAGCTATATTTTTCAGATTAATCTAGAATTTCCGATTTCTAAGTTTTCCACATTTATCTGTATTTTCTAGGATTGGAACCAAGTATCTAATGAAAGCATATTTATTTGTAATGCATATCTAAAGGCCCCCCTCCATGGGAGACATGTTCTTTGAATAAGTATCTGTGGAGGTCTGCAGCACCTACATCAATTGCTCTACACAGGGAAACATATCTTTGGAGCGTCAGATATGTCTGTGGACCTGGACCGGCATTTGTGATTATTGTGCATGATAGGATATATTGTCACCAGAGACATATTTGACCAAAGCCAATTAAATTGTATATGATATCATGTGTTCAAAAAGTAATGGCAGCTAGTCTTAGTGTTTAGCTTAGTGAATTACATATGGTTTGAATCATTTGGAGATTTGTTATTATTTCAACAAATTTAATTTATAGTGCAATATGTTTTAGATATCATAATTTCAGATTGATTTCTTCACAAATAGAATATGTTTTCATGCTGACATGAATGATTTGCTATTGTAAGCTACACAGCGGCATAATTTTTTACCTCAATTTTAAACTCCCCACTTAAAAGATTACTACAGTACAAAATCCGTAATTGCGGGACTTTGGCGATTCTGAATTAGGGGTTTTTCCGGATTATAGATCATCAATTTACATCTGGTAAGATGGCATGCAGAAATTATACAATTAAAAAATATGAAACCATAATTTATGAAATAAAGAGCAATTATGATCTAAAGGGTATCAAAATTTACCAAAAAAAAAAAAGCTTAATATTTGTTTACTTTATTAAACATTTCTTTCAATGTAAGTTGTTTAAGTTGCTTCATTTTTTGTGCTAATACTTTCTCTTTAATTCTATAAACAGACATAATTTCTCTTTCAGTTACAAAGTTCTACTGTTCAAGTCCTGTAATTGCTGTGTCGAGAATACCGACTAACTCATCAATCAAAATTTTTTCGTTTTCAATAACGTCTCTGTCACTTTCTTCACTATCGGAAGGGCGCATGGGTAAACGCTTTATGCGCATGCATAGCAGGCACGTGCATTAAAAGCGCATGCATAAATGCTTTACGCGCATGCGTAAGCGCATTACGTGCATGTGTAAGTTTGTGGCTTTGAGGTCCGGATTATAGGTCATTCCGGATGATGGACGTCCGGATTACGGACTTTGTACTGCATATTCTTATGTTCTGAGAAGTCTAACAAATGAGAAAAGCTTAATTTATCGCCTATTCTCATTTGATACTGATTTTCTACTGTTGATGATTTTTCCATTTTTGGACTAAGTCTAACTAGATCGATCGCTTAGTGCATTTACCAAACTGTTGAAATTATCATGAACCAGTAAATTGCAAATTCGAATCCAACTGATTTATTTTCTGAATTTTCCACTCAAAATAAATACTTTATTGTTTCTGTAACTAAGAAAGATCTTATTATAAATAAAATTTTATATCAATGAATCCTTTACATAGTAATTTTATGTTAATTATGTAAATATAAATACTAGATTTCTAAGCTATTTATAGTGTTGATAAATATATATGAAAAATAAAAATTTTTATTTATTTTTCGTACTTTGCATTTTTAATATATGTTACTTTCTGTCTGTTATTAAGCTTTCTGTTTATCATTATTATTCATATTATTATAGCCTTTTTTTTAAATAAATTTCAGAAAAATAAAGGTTTTGAAACTGCAAATTTATCACGTTTACAGTGAGACAAATAGAAGTCTCCTATTGGATACAAATCAGGTTATTTGCTCTGACTGTTCTGATTGGCTTGGTAACTCTGAGCAACTTGGATACAAAAATCTTCCAGTGCAGACGAGAAGCTGTCATGTGATACATCTGCAAAGGAGACTTTAATGCATCACTCAGCAACTTTGTCTCCTCATCTAGAAAGGTCTTAACTTAGCCAGGAGTTGAACTTTGAATCAGAATTGCAGTTTTATCTGTGTACATAACCAGTGTTGTGTCCTATGTGACTGAAGTGATAGGATTGTGCAAATATTCTAAAGAATAAAGCCCAGAGAGGACCCATGTGAGACACCGGTCAGAAGAGGTCACTAAGTTGAGAATCAGTTGTCCACATGAATGACAAAGTATTTATCTGAAAAAAGTTAGAAGAAATGATGTTCGTGATGTAATCTGAGAACCTCCAGGTTACAAATTTGTATACGAAGCTCTCCATCCAGACTCAATAAAAGGGCTTTGCAACATTAGAAAATGTAGTGCTGGCAGGCAGTTTGCTTTGCAGGCCTTGAGAAATGATCTCAGTCACTTGGTACGTTGCAGGCAAATAGTTCCACTGAAATCCATATTGTTCTGATATCAGAATACTTTTTCAGTTTATCTAATATAACATTATTTGAAGAATGACATGTTTACCAACTCTAATCTGACAAAACAGCAAGCTGATATGGAGATAGGATACTAGGCCAATGGAAGACAATTTTTTTTTTTTTTTTTTTTTTTTTTTTTTTTGTATGGGGAAGATGATTGCCGGTTTTCAGCACAAAGGAAATATTGAAACTTCAACACTAGTCTAGAGTAATCAAATCTGAATATCAGCAATTCATATTCTCATGATCATGTAGTTGGAATTAGGGCAGGACTTTCTCTCTTCCTGGCTTTGATTTTGCAGATACAGTAAAAATTATCTGAAAAGCTCAAGAAATACTGAATCTCAGGTAAGTGAAAATTCTGGGTAGTTTGAATGTATTAAAAATGCCAATTGCAATAGGAATTGCTGGCTCTTTATTTCATTAAATAATTAAGAGATACAAGTAATGGATAGAGCATAGAAAAAATGTAAACTGCTTGTCAATTTTTCAAGGTGCATCATCGTAAAAGTTTTGCTGCCCAGTGCAACACGTTGTATTGGTTTTACTACTGGCTGCCATTGAGTACTCATCAAACCCATTGAAACAAAGGAAATTCATATGGTAAATTTGTGGATCCCTTATGTAAGCTGTAATCCTGAAGCAGCTGAATGCATAGAATAAACAGAACATTCCTGTCCACACAGATAAGTAGATATTTTTGCTGAAATGGGAAAAAGATGCCGAGATTTTCAAGACTTCTGTAATCCTGTAAAGTATTGTACCACTAAAAGAATATTTTCTGCCATAAAAAGATATGCGAACAATGCCTAAATCTAGATTAAGTACTGAAAATATAAATGCTAAGCTAGTTGTGAGACAAATCTATTTCAAGAAATGTGACAAGTTTAAAGGTGGCCAAACCAGTGACAACATTACTGAAGTAAAGTACATTAGATACACTAGGACAAGTGATATTTCTATTACTCAAAAATTAGAAATGCAATTTTGATATTAATAAAGCTTTACAATGCAGATAAAGAGAAAAAGCATATACTATGTGCTAGCAGAATATACCAATATTAGATTTGTCACTGGTGTTACATTAAAAAATGATGAAATTACTATTCTGAGCATGGGGGCGAAATATCGTTTCATAGCAGCTGTCTATTAAAAGTTCAGTTTAATTATAATTGGGTAAAAGACTGATTCTTGTAACTTAAAATCATTCATTTTGCATTACTATTTTAAATTTTATAATATGATTATATATTTAAATTGAAACCAGATCTTACATCAAGGATCTGTATGTTTAATCTTTATTACTGACAAAACAAATTAACCTTGAAATATCTAATACTTTTTTGAAACCCTTATACTGTTGAAAACTTCCAATTGTAATTTTGTATAATACTTACTCTGGTTTGAATTTTCCATTTTCCTATTCATTTAATATTTTTCCACCCAGATGTGCCCAACAGCAGCTGAACAGTAAAGTTGCTGAACACTATAGTTTGATTGGCATTTGAATTTCTGCGAAAGGGCTGGCTACATGGGCATTTTCATGGTTTTCTCTATATGTAATGTGAATACATGACAGTTTCTCTTAGAAAAGTCTTCCATAAATGTATCTATCTTCTTACACAGGTAGCCAAAATTGCTTTGCCACATTCAGGCAATTGAACAAATCAGGCTAGCATTTGTGAAGTGAGGTTTCTATTAGTAATGTATGAGACAAAGAACTAATTTTGCTTCTTTTCAATGGATATATTGTGTATGATTGTATATGTGCTTTGCCATAATTAAATAAACCAAACTCAGCTGGATTCAGGAAGTGTCTGTTAAGGAATTCTAACTGTATATATATAATACAGTTAAAATTCCTTAACAGACACTTCCTGAATCCCCAGACTCTTGAAGAAGACCAATGCACTCATATTTAACGGATATTTCCTGAAAATGGATAAAAGTCTTGGCTCCATGGATCCATTAACAGGAGGTTTGACTATGTGCTCTTCTTTTAGTTTTATGCCTTTCTGCATGCTCATTTTTCACTCCCAAGTGTGGTCTTTCATTGATCCATTTTAATATGATCACATGTGTTACTTCATTTTATCACTTATTTCTAAACTGGAGAATATCTATCAGGATAATTAGGGTTTTGTTTGTTTTTCAAGTTTCACATCTTCATTTGATAATAAAGTAAATATTATGTATAATGTAAGAGAGTCATATAATTTTACTCACATTTATGGCAATCAGAAGAATCCAAATGACTAACATTGCTTGATGGTAACCAAAATAAAGATCCTGAAGGAATAAATATATTATAAAGCATTTAACCTGAACAGTCACATTAAGATTATATCTTTAATAATTAGAATTACATATTTAATATCATCATACACTTCTTGTGTAGAAGGTATATCATATCATGAATATCGCAAATAGACAAGCTATGGAATGTAAGCAAATAAAATTTGAAGTTATGTCTAGAGTAAACCGCATGATGATAAATAATATAAAAAAATGAGATAAATATATATCTCATAAAATGATATAAATAATTTTGACAGATTACAAAGATAATGTTTCCATGGATTTCAATCATGAAACAGCGTACTCTGTTAACTGCTGAATCAGGAATTCTTCTGATTAATATCTTTATGCCCTAGTAAACTAGCATAAACCTGTAGTTTTCAAAAACTTTACATGTATTCCATTTCTTTTCAATGCAAAACAATAAACAGTTACTAGACTTAGTAGTTCAACATCAACTACAAATATTCAGCATTGTGGAAATATTAAAATTTTGTGTACTGACTTACTTTCATTTTAAAATACACATTTATGAGAAATGGAGATAGGTAATTCACACAGGTACAACCCTTGAAAATTACCCATTCAGGATAAAGAACTTTCATTTACACCATTCTTTAAGAAACTGAGTTTTCAGCATCGTGAACTTTCATTTACACCATTCTTTAAGAAACTGAGTTTTCAGCATCGTGAACTTTCATTTACACAATTCTTTAAAAAGCCGAGTTTTTGTTCTTTTGAAAACTTTAATTTTCAGTCAAACTACTGCATAAAAGAAAATTACAAAATCTATTACACAGACTGCCTACTCACCAGAAACCAAACTTGATGCAAAACTATCAATGAATGTACACTAAAGTTGTTCTTTTTTCTAACCACAGACAATATTTTCCATAATTTGGACCCATTTGACTGTTCAAAGGAAACCACTGAAAAAATATAGCAACTCAATTTTTTTTTTCCTTCCTGTCCATATGAATGGCAGAGATATTAAAAGCTTTTATGCCTTTTAATTTTTGTTGCTTTTTCATTTTGATTAGCATGACTAATCAAATCATATCACCGACAGGATTTGTTTCCACTTTGTTATGATAGCCCCATTCCTTAAAGTATTTTCTTCCTTATTTTCTTTAATATTCAGCAAACCGTTATCATAACCAGAGAAAAATAAATATTTAAGTAAAATGATTGCACAAAGTAGTGTATTAAATGATGCAAAAACAGTACACATCACATATGACTCTAATATAGATTTCATCTACCTTCCAGGGAATCCACAAGTTAAAAACTTAGCAATATAAACAACAGAATTCAAAGAAATTAAAATGCTTTCAACATTAACTTACATTGACGATGGAACGATAAAAAATTGCAATCAACCTCCATACTGTAAAAACAAGCATTGAAAGGAGCCAAGGACGGAACTTCTCTTCAAATTCCTAACAAATACAGAATAGTTAAATAAATATCTGACATAGATGCATTAAAAGAAATAAAAGCTACTTTAAAATTAAATTATAATAAGAATTTGTTTAGAAATACTGAGCTATTTTAGGCACAGTTTTGAACAATTTCAGCATACTGTAATTTAGTGCACTTAACTTCTGTCAACCGGGTATCTAATTTTCAACAAAATACACAAGATAGAAAAGTGCATTGTTCAAAAGTTTTCAAAAATATTTTTAACCCACATAGCAGTAATAAAAATAGTTTAACGGTAATAATTCACATGTTCCTACAAACATATTTGATCATTAGAATTAATTTTTTAGGAAAAAAAAAAAAAAAATGTTTGCTATAATTCATGTGCACATGTATATGAATAAATGGATTAAAAATATCATTCACAAAATAATCATATGATTATTAATAAGATGTCATGATCTGTAAGTTATATAAAAAAAGGAAAATACTAATAAAACTGCCCAATTGCTTTATTTTGACATGCACCCACAGAAAATGTTCCTTCTGAAAGTAACTGAAGTAGTATTTACATCCATATGTACAGATCTAACTGAATTTAGTTACTTGGCTTTCATTTAAACACATTCTTGACCTCATGATTCAAAATAAAATGCTTTGAAAATGGTTGATTTTGTAAGCTAACTACTGCCTCAAAAAGAACCCTTTCCAATTTCAGAAATCACTCTCAGAAAAGCCACTGCTTAGGGTGGTATGTTTGTTTCCCCTCTAGAATAACAGATAAGTCATAAAATGACCTCCCTGGTAATGAATAGCAAGAACTTCTTGTTGTGTTACTTTCATATATCATATTTCTTTCAGCAGTACATGTATACTTGATTCATTAACATTTAACCCCATGAAAAATTATGAATTTTTTTGGGTACATTTTAGTTGATTTTTTGACAGATAATTAATAATGCTACAGTTAAAGTATTATTAGTCTTAAAGACAATGCTCTGGGACAATAACACTCTCTGCAGTATTTATGTCCTGAAAACCAGTGTAGTGTTTCTTGCTCTAATTCTACCTATTCCATACAGGCCATGGATCAAACAATGATACCTACGTTTAAAAGATATTATTTGAGGACTTTAATGAATCAGACCATCAAGGCAACTGGCAGGAACGTTAAGCCTACATTAAGAAATTTTTGGAAGAACTATAATATAATGTAATTGTTGCTAATGCTCATTTGCCTATAGTCAGCCCAAGCCCACAGAATTCCTAGTGGCAAGGATTGCAAGTTTATGCTTGACGTTGGAAACAGTCTTTGAGCACCTTACAGGTGACAGTGTAATTTAGCTCAGTTCTGACCCCAATTTTGATGGAGAGCACCCCATGGGGACGAGTCTGAAGTTCTCTCAACCTTTTCCTCTACCACAGCCTCTCGAGAAGACTTTTGGCTTGTGGAATATTTAGAGTGCCCCCATGCCGCATGGACATTATACATTTACAAACATTGATGCCTTCTCTGGGATTCGAACCCAGGCTTTTCGGCACAGCAGTCACAAATGGTAAGTGATGGAGAAAATTGTGAAGGAGCTCTGGAAAATATCATAGATTATACAATTAGCGTAATGAATAAACCAGGACATCAACAATGAATGAGTTGATTGAATCTCAGTGAGTAACTCTGTCAACTGAATACTTAATTAAGCAACAAGAATTAAATGAAATATACAATGAGACTGGGGAAGAATTAGCTGATAATATCGTCTAGACTTTAAGAATGAAAAATATGAATAATGCCTTCACACATCTTGAGAAATTTTTTATTACCACGAAAGAATGTGATCCTAATGGAGAACAAGTATCTCAAATATTTAGGGTGACTCAGCATGTTCCAATACATCAAGAAAAGGTGGTATTCAGTTTATATAGAAAACAACTGAAAGTGTTAAAATACACCTCATCATTTTAATTATGCATAATGATAAATAAATAAAATTATTGATAAGTAGATATTTTAAAGTATAATTTTTAATATTTCTTTTACATGCCTCTACTTTCAAACATTAATCTTTCACACAGATTTTTAGGAACCAATTATATGCAAAAGTTGGGGGGCTGCCCGTCTAAGAGTTGGCAAGAGAACTGTTTGTTTTAAAAGCTCTTATTTAGCTCACTCATGGTGTCTGTTGCGATGGTCAAATTTTGTAATTGGTTTTTAAACTACTTTCTGATAAGGCTATACAGTTCAAAATTTGTATGCACACACTGCGGATGAGAATATGATGTAGAAAAGCAATTTTTTCAAAATTTGATTTAGATACACTGCCCTCCTGAAGTTAAGGAACAACATGTTTTTCAAAGCTCACCATTACAAAAATGTCAGTAACCTTTAAATTCACAATTCATATGCATGACAGCGATGAAGTTTAAGAAAATATATGCAAAAACAAACCTACCACTTTCATTTTATAGAAATCAATACTTATATAGCAGTTGGAGGGGAAAAAATGCAAAAACTGTAATTTTTGTTCATGAGTGTTGATTTTTCAGTTGTTATTATAATTTCATGGATAATATTCAGGAGAGCCTATCAATGTCCAGGAGAAGTCATTGGCCTGGTTCGTTGAGGTGGCGGGAGATCGGATGGATGGAAATGGGGATGGGACAAGCTGATGCTGCTAGACGTCTCAACGTCTCTTATAGTGTGGCCCACCGACTATGCAATCAGTTTCAATCCGAAGATTCCGTGTCTAGAAAACATGTTCCATGCACACCTAGAGTTACAACACATGCGGGAGACCGTTATTTAGCTTTTTCAGCCCAAAGGAGGATTAACATTACTGTGCCTCAGCTCATAGCAGATCATTTAGTGGCAACAGGAACAAGAATCGCAACTACTACAGTCGACAGATGCCTGCACAATACAGGTCTGTATGCAAGATGACCGGCTGTTTGTGTCTCCTTGACCCGAAAACACAGAGGTGCCTGTTTACGTAGAACGCGTCTCCTGCACCAGTCAACAATGGGTGTCAGTTCTTACAGACGAATCCAAGTTCACACTGGAGAGTGATTCAGGGTGTTGATTGATCTGTAGTAAACAATGTAACAACTACAACCGATCCCATGTTAAGACACAGTTACAGAGCTGGTGGAATAATGGTTTGGTCTGGATCTCTCTCGGTGGCCACACTGAACATCATGTGTTCCATGGAGGAGCTTTGACCAATGTGAGATATCCAGATGAGATCCTTGATTAATACATCCACCCATATGCCGCTGCTATTGGTCCTGGATTTCTTCTGATGGACGACAATGCGTGATCGCACCGAGCTTGAGTTGCTGAAGAACATATTAAGGGTCACAGTATGGAGTGGATGGAATGGCCAGCTAAATCCCCAGACCTGGATCCTATAGAGCATCTTTGGGACTACCTTGGGAGGCAATTGCTGCTTTAAGTTCTCCTCCAAGGTTGTTAGATGAGTTTGAACAAAGATTACTCCGTATCTGGTCGTTGCTTGCAATTTCACTGATCGACAATAATTTACAGCATGGAACGTTGCTGCCGCCAATGTACTGCAGCTAGGAGTGGACACATTCCTTATTAGAACCCATTTTTCCTCAAAAAACTGTGATATCCTGTTTCTCAAAAATTGGATTTCTTTGCCAAGAGTGCCGTTTTTCGTTGTAATCCGTGTTTGTGTTGAACTTTAGAAACATTCTATGTCGCATTCATTAAAGAACTGTTTAGTGAACATGCCCTGTAAATTTCTTGTTTTTATGTTGCTTCATTCTCAAATTAGACACAAAACCATGCTGTTCCTTAACTTTTGGAGGGCAGTGTATTTTAAAATTCAATGCTGAAACAATTTTACTTACATATCTTCATTTAACAAAAGGACTGAACCTCTCAGAATTTTACTATTTTCAGCATCGAATAGTGTGATTAAATTTCTTTTAAATGAAGTTTATATGAGATTTTAATGTAATTTCTCATTTTTTGGTTAAATCGCTAGATTTTTTATTTTGTAAAGAGAATTATTTACTCTCTTAATTTAAATTATTTAATTTCTTAATTAAATTTCCCATTACACTATATAATGAATTTTAAATAATGCCTATTTTATAAAAAAACTTGAATTTTTAAAAATTTTTAATAGCTCTAAAATGGAAATTTCTAATTTCCTTTCTATATGCATTCACTTTCCAACTGGTAATTCGTTACAGCCAGTTTAGTGCAAGGCCTTTATTGCAATTTATCAAGAAGACTTCTTTCTGTGCAAACTGGGATTATTGTCATGGTTGCTTGGATGTGTGTTCTCTAATGTTCCCTTAAGGAGCCTGCACACAAGTGATAATCTGGGACAAACTACTGAAGGGTTAAAATTTTGATTGAAAGAACTGACAGCCATACATATTTTAGATAAACAGCAATGCATGATTCATATAGATTTAAAAAGGCACTAAAATATTCAATTAAAAAATAGAATTTTTATTATAAATATATTTCTTGCACACATTTTCGTATGTAACTGTTTGTCCAGCAAAGACTTCATGAATCAAAATAGTTTATCTGAAGATATCATATACAATAAAAGCCTGACTACCTGGCATTGAACTAAGAGCAAAATCAAATAACCAGAATATTTTTATTTCATTTTTTTCCAAAAAATTAAGCAAACAGAAGATTTGCAACTCCCTTATTAAGCATAATTAGAATAATGATTTGAATTTAAAAAAAAAAAAATGTCGCCGAGCAGTGCGATTTAGTGGTAATACTGGATAAGTGTGACATCATAACACATATTCACCTTGGCTGTATGTAAACCTGATTAATTCTCGATAAGTGGGTTTAATTTCTGCAATAAATGGCATAAATTAACTGCAACTGTTTTCAATTGCCTTTTGGGAAAAAAAATTATTAAAATTTGGAACTTGCTTTCAACATTTGGCTTGGTTTATTTAATTACAACAAAGCAGTTAAGGTCTATCTGCCTACTGAAGGATAACTTTATAAAAGACTTTCTAAGAAAAACTGGTTCATATGCTTTCAACATTACAGCATTCAGTATTTTCAAAATTATGCAATCCGAGTATCAAGAAAAATGATGACTATCGATTTAAGTTTCTTATATGTTATATCCATAACTTATATAGGTACAGATATCAATGGATGGGACACCAAAATTAATTTCACCATGGATTGTACAGGCATAGTTACACTACATCAATAGTGCAGCTCTGCCTCAAATTTGAGGAAAAGAAACCCAGGAAGTGGTCCAAGAGTCTCCCAGCCCTTTCTCCTACCACCAACCTCTCAAGAGGACTTTCAACTCGCCATGTATTTTGAATGCCGCCTTCGTACACACACACACACACTATATGCTTACAAGCATGCCTGCCTTCTCTGGGATTCAATCCCAGGCCCAACCAGATGGCAGTCAGTGCCAAAACCACTGTCTCATCTGGGCAGCCAATAAATTATAGAAGTTGATTAACTACATAAAGAGCTATATGTTTTTTCAAACTTCTGCCGGAATGACTGGTGCAAATTTGGTGACATCTCCGCCAATTTTCATGGTTCGTGGAATTTTGTAAATAAATATGATATTTTACTTCAACGTTTATGTCTAAAATGACCTTTTTTCTTTTAAAATCTCACCTAATTCAAATGTAGGCATTTAATATTAAAGTTAATAACAACATTGCTCTTTTTATATTAGGCCAATTTTTTTCCCTTTATTAATTTTTCTTTTCTACCATGAATTGCATTGCTTATACCCTCAATTACCAGGAATTTTTATGCATCCTGAATTCGGCATTTCTAGAGATTTTCAGATTATCAGGCTTTTATTGTACTATGAATATTCCATCTATCAAGCACAGGAAAAATTAAAAGGTAGGACTTGTGCTTTCAGAATGAAATAACCAAGTTCATTATGAAGCTTATAAACAATAGCTTAGAATCCCTTCAAGGTATAAATCTATCCAATAAACTATGCTAACTAAATCACCACAAGCAATTGAGGTTGCCACACAACACAAAGCATAAAATATCAGGCTATTTCACATATAACTCAGGTACTCTGTTTGCATAACTTCTGTACAGAAATTTAGCAGCTGTATAATTTATATAAATTAAGCATTTTCACATGAATAAATTATTTGCATGTCTTTTATTTTAAAAGGAACCTACAGTAATCAATTCTGGCATTAATACAAATATAAAATATATGCTGTGGAACATCAAATTTGAAACAATCAAAATTTTCATCACTCTTAATTCCTTCACATTATTTATAAATGGGCACCATAAAGTCATATTCATAAAACATATTAATTTTTGGAATAATATTAAATGGTAAAGAGACTAACAACAAGCAGCAATTATTGGTTTAATGTGAGTAAATTTACAAAACTTTGCATATTATTAGTTTTCTTAACATTTAGTTCTTCTGCATGCCCTTTCTGTTAGATCTGAATAATACTATCCATTGGGTAGCAAAATGGCATAGATACCACACTTTATTTAATAACAACCTTCAAAGTTAAAATTTCTGAAAAACCTTTCAGAAATATCTAAAAACATCATGACAACATCTGCTTATACATACATAACTAAATCAGCTAAATTAATAATTTAAATACTAGAAGAATAAGCTGGGAATAAGGAAAACTGTTTCATTCCAAAATTTTTCTTGACAAAATGTACACAAAACAAACAAACCAGTCACACATCATGTTTCTCATATATTGTGGTTTGATGTGTATTGTAAAAGAAAATAAATTCACAAATTTAGAAACAATTTACATATTAAACATTGTTTTCATAGATGGCAATATAAATTACTTTATATAATTTTCATCTACTTACAGATATTTTTAATTTGACATAACTCTTATTACATTACAAATATTAAAAAAAATGTGAAGAAATTATATAAGAAAGCTTACCTTTTTCAGTGCACCCATTAGAATAACAGAACTAGCCATCAAACACACGGAAAGAATGAATGAAATGACAGAACAAAATATCAAGAGATTCCTCACTACAAAAACAGATAATATTTATCAAGGATAAACAACTATAGCAAGAACTATTCATGATTCTTATCAAAATTTAACTAGAAGTAATATTCAACTTAATTTGCTACAGTCTTCAAATAAGATAGTGCCATTAATTTTTTGAAAGCATTATTATGGTTATGCTGCAATAAACTGGCCTATAATTCAAAATAAACAATATTCAATTATCAGAATTACTTAATAATTCAGTGATATGGAACGAAAAAATAATATTTGGTAATTTTCATTTAAAACCATATGACTATGAATTTCAGGACTCTCAAAAAAGAATTCTGTAACATTTGCAGATCCCAATGAGATAAACACTTTTACCTTTTTCTTAAACAATTTTGAATAATGCTATTTTAAAATTTCAAAACACATAAACATTAAGGAATTTATGAATGAAAATATTCATATTCTTAAAATAAATTTAAGATTAATACACCTCTTATGTGGTACACTATTATGCATGCCAGCAAGTACACTGAACAGCCCTCATCACTTCACCATACATACACAAATAATGGCAAATCTCAAATAAAAAATAATAAATACATGTTCATATAACTTATAGTTCAAACCAAATCTGCAACTCACTATGGTAATTGGTTGTGCTGGTATTTTTCCTTCAGTTAGAAAAGACAGCAAATTTGACAATGACTAAATTGCAGTAGCAAACAACTTAATAAAAAGGCTACACTTGCATGGATTTTTCAAACAACTAACTGCATTTAGTACATTTGAAAAAAGGAAAAAGGAAAAAGTCACGAAATACTGGCAAGATGCTGCAACTGATCTACACAGTATTCAGACTTAACACATTCCACCCCAAAACAAGAATATTAACCCTACAACTATCTTCTTTTAACATGATGATGCAGTCAAACATAAAAAAAAAAAAAAAAAAAAAAAAACCTTATTCAAGAAGAGGGATTTTAGTTAATGCCTTGGTCTCCATATTCACCAAACTGAGAAATATTTGTAGAATATATTGAAAATAAAAACAACTTTGAGACAGCTTAAACATAAAGATACAAATATCTGCAGGTAATATGTTGGGTTTAGACACCATAAAACATCTCTAAAATCATACAGCTGCTATGCCCCACTGATTAAAAGCTGTTGTGGCAGCTATTGGCAATACTGACAACATATCAGAAAGGTGACTATGTTTCGGTTCTGTAGTGTCAGATGTAAAAGACCTCACATTATTTATTTCTGTTTTGTGTCTTTTTACATGATTTTTCAGTATAAAGAATACATTAAATACTTAGGATAAAGAGTAATTATATAAACATTAGAAGTCATATGGAAAAGATATATATAACCTTTTTATTAAAATCTAGGTATTAATAAGCTTAATACATGGATAAGGATACTTTTAACATTAAGATACATTAGTGAAGTTTATTACTTCATGAAATCTTCCAAACAATATTGTACAGTCAAACTAAGTGCATCTGCATTTTATCTACTCATGAATTTTGTATACATACATGTAGATGATTATTTTGTATATGTATTTTTATCATACCTAAATAAATGCCACTTAAATGCATTATTAATGATGGTTACCACAGTTCAAGTGTTAGAGATATTTTTACAGTCACATGATGAAGCTTTAAAGTACCTGATATAATTAAAAATGCATTTCTATTTTAACTCATAAATTTATCCTTGAATTTTAGTGTATGCTTGTAAACAAACATTTTACTGCTTTTTTGCAAAGCCATTAATTTCTTCACCACAGTGAATTTTGATGACATAATCCTCTCTCCCAAAGTGCATTGTTTTACTTTTTTCACTTGCATTCAGTGATTCAATTTCTGGGTCCGTAAAATTTTGATTTGTGCTCAACACATGTTTGCTATTTCATATAAATGGAAGGAATGACTGATGTTCCTGGCTATCGAAGGAAATGCAAACATACATTCAAACTGATAAAGCAAAATATCTCGGAGAGGCTGCTGGATTATTATTGTGACATCTAATAGTAAAATAAATTTTATCTCTATGTGCATATTAATGGGGATTTGAAACATATAAATATGTTTTTGGATTTATTTTATACAAGTTCCCTCCTTCTCGAGTTAAGATTGGAGTTATAGTGATCACGTGGCATGAGAGATCTCAGTGGCTTCAGATATTGTAGTGGCTTTGCTCGTGTTGCCATTTATTTACACCAATGAGAAGTGCACAAGTTTTGCATGACCTTGAAGATGATAATGCCTTGTAATTTGATCCCAGGTCTGTTGCATGTCAATTGAATTCTTACCACTAACGCAAAGAGCTCCTGTGTGCTAGATTCAAGAATTCCAACTCTTCCAAATTTGTGTGTGTTGAGTAGCTCTCAAAATCACTACACACTCCTCTCCTAACCACTTCTGATGTGATGAGACATGACTGGTTGCAGTGAACTGAGCCTGCATTGTAAGCAGGATTGTGAACCCAGTGTGTTGATGAGATTGATCATTGCACTGATGGTTTGTGGCTGTGGCTCCAGTGTACAGATATGCTCAGTTAGATCTGTTGATGTATGTGCAGCATGTTTGAGAGGACCCCATTTGTTGGTATGTGTGTCACTGTTAGGTTTTGAGGTGGAGCCTGTGTGATGTAGTTCATCATTTGTCCTCAGTGGGGGTGAGGGGATGTACTCCTCTGGTTTACTACTGTGACAATCATGTGGAGTGAGCATACCATCATGTCTGGATCACAACATAGTGATCTCAGAGGCTCTGGGTATTGTAGTTGCTTGCTCGGGTCATTATCTATTAACACCAAGAGAACTGCAGCAGCACACGAGATTTGACATGCCCTTGATGATAATAATGACCTTGGGATTTGATCCCGGTTTATTACATGCAAGTTGAATTCTCTACCCATAGCGCAAAAGAGCTCCTGTGCACTAGGTCCAAGATCTCTAACTCTTCCAAATTTGTGAGCACTGAATGGCTCTTGAGATTGCTACAGACTACTCAATTAAGGCCTAACTGCCAAAAGCTCCATCAAAAGAAAGCAATCAGAGGAACAGAATCCAAGAATACCATACCTCATCTCCCATTAACTCAAAGCTCTTACATAAGCTTTGAGATTGGAATATTTTTAAGTTCTGTTTTACGGAGATTGTATGAACACAACCATCCATGTGCTATCTGAAACTTTTTTATCCAAGCCCAATGGTATGATAATCATTTTCCTTTAACACTGAACCACCGGTACCGAAGAGCCGGGGCTCGAATCCCGGAGAAGACATGGATGTTTATAAATGTATAGTGTCAATGCGGCATGGCAGCACTCTAAATATGCAGCGAGCTGAAAGTCCTCTCGTGTGGATTGGTAGAAGGGGAGAGGAATGGGAGATCCCCAGATCTCCCCGAGGTGCTCTACCTCAAAACTGGGGGTGGAAAATTAGAAGTCCAACCTCTCTTTGCAGTAGGCTCTGACAACCATTGTTTCATGTAGTATGGACAACAATGACAACCAGCCTAAAGAAGGCAAAACTACATTATATGTCAGGTTACATATTACACCACATGATTTAGTAAATTTCATTATAAAACTGGGTACATGCCATTAAAATATTTGAAAGAACATTCATGGAAATTTTTTAATTAATCAGTTAATATATTAACATTTATAAGTATTTAACCATAAGACATGCATAGACAACAAATTGCAAAGCTCTGCTTAGCTCCATTTTAAACTCAGAACTGAAAGTCCTCCCCCCCCCCAGAAGTAGAATGGCTTCATGTTTCCTTAAATATAAAACCGAAAAGATGTATGCCTATAGAAAAAGGCAGCACATAACATAAATAGATTAAAGAAAATGAATTTAAATTTTAAGATTAGCTAAAAGATTTGAAAACAAAGAATTTCATTCATACATATGCACGTACATATGCACATAATATAGTATATATGTATTAATTTGGTAACTATAACTTTCAAAAGTCATTTTCATAAGTCAATTTTTAATTATTTTAAAAATGAAAAAAATGAGCTATAGAAATTTAACTATTTAAAGAACTTCTAAGTATGTTAATTTTCCAATATAATATGTTACTCATTTAAACTGACTAGACACATAATTCTAGAGTACATATAATATTACATATATATTAACTTCTATTAAAAGTAGATCAATTTATTTAATGTCCATTTGTAAAAACATGAAAAATTAAGATTTTTTTATTCTTACCATGCTGATTTCCACTGTAGACAAAAAGGAAGCTTATACCAAAATATCTATAGTGAATCGACCCAGGTTGGGCTTCAATTAGGCAATATGTATCAAAAATGGCCAGAATGATCATAAACACACTTTCCACCTATGACAGAAATACAATAATTAGTCCAGATTTTGAGATTGTTGCAACAAAGACACATCAATGCTTTCGCTTTAACGTAAATACATAAAAACAGCAACATGTCACTTTCTAATACAAGGTTTCGTCTCATGAAGATGATTATGACAAAAGAAATGGGTACATGAATATTCAACTTCAGTTTAAGCGGAACACTGGTATCTGGCTGATTTAATATTTGTTAGGTCTCTGTTTACTACAATAAACACAGAATTTTTTTTAATTTCATAAATTTTATTGATTCAAATATTTTAAGATTTACATAAATGTTGGACTTACCACTTCATTAGTACAGTCAAAAGTCTTTAATCCGGACTCGTCGAGACTTCGGCGATTCCGGATTATCGGTTTTCCCGGTTTATAGATCATCAGTTTAAATCTGGTAAGATGATATGCAGAAATTATAAAATTAAAAGTATGAAACCGTAATTTATGAAATAAGGAGCAATTATATGATCTAAACGGTATCAAAATTTACAAAAAAAAAAAAAAAAAAAAAAAAAAAAAAAAAAAAAAAAAAAAAAAAAAAAAAAAGGAGCTTAATATTTATTTGTTTACTGTATTAAACATTTCTTTCAATGTAAGTTGTTTAAGTTGCTTCGTTTTATGTGCTAATACTTTCTCTTTAATTCTATAAACAGACATAATTTCTTGTTCAGTTACAAAGTTCCGCTGTTCAAGTCCTATAATTGCTGTGTCGAGAATACCGACTAATTTGTCAATCGAAATTTTTTCGTTTTCAATAACCTCTCTGTCACTTTCTTCACTATCAGAAGCGGTATATCGAAACATGCTTTCGCTTTGTAGATGCTTTGGCAGCTCCAGAATCTGAAACTCTTTTTGACATAATCGAAAGTTCAAGCTTACTTTTTATAAAATTCCTCTAACAGTCTGCAAAAAATAATAAGCCGGATCCAATTAGAAGATTAAGAAACAACGCAATCTGTAACATTAACTGAAATAGATAATTAGATAATTTTAGCCTAGCTTATACCCTCCGTTATACAGTAAACGCGCATGCGTAAACGCATTAATGCGTTTACGCATGCAGAAAGTTTGTAGCTTTGAGGTCCGGATTATAGATCATTCCGGATTATGGTCGTACGGATTAAAGACTTTTGACTGTAGTTGCTTGCAGTTTAGTTGTGAGGCGCTTTACAATGTACGTGCATTTCCCAAATTTATTACAATAATGTTATTTATTAATCAATAAAAATTATTATAATATTCAAATGCAAAAATTTTCATATATATATATATAAATAACTGATACAATTAAGAATTTAAAATAAAACAATAAAATGATGAAATTGTTGACACAGACTTTTATTTTTTCAGCAAAATTTATTACCAGTTATTGCAAAAAAAATTTAATTGCAAGTCATTTACTAGGAATATATTGCCACAGGTCTGTAATGGAAGCTACTGGGTATAAGAGAAGTATTACGTGTAAGGGCAGGAAGCATACAACTTAGCCTAGAACAAAGAAGTTCAGTCTTTCAGACTGTGTTCCTGTGGTGATGGCCAAGTACCTTAGTTATTATTTGGCTCTTCAACATTCAATATTCCTGGGGCAGTGATTTAAAATTCTTCCTTATCTCTCTGGGACACATAAATTTTTCTTTGTCATACCTTGGGGTATAATGTTTTTATATGAAGCACAAGTAATTTCGAGTTCAGAAAAGCTGGCACTCTAAGTACGCACTGCACCCACTGTTCGCTGCACTGTATCAATCATTTTACTCAATTATATTCAGCATCCGATTTTATAGAATGCATCACGAATACAAAGTTTTCATTCAAACTCCAAACCTTTCCAGCAAAATTAAAAGTTTGGGAAGTGCTAGATACATTTTTTCTTAACTCTGACAAAATTATATCCTACTGAGTAAGCTTATCATCATCATGATCAATAGCTATATCATCCACAAAGTCATAATGATTATCAGATATTTTACTTTTTCTATACTGACATACAAAACAGATATGCTTGCACATATTCCACTTTATAGTTGCATCTAAATTAAGTACATTCATGAATGCATGCATTGTAGTCAGGACACATAATTTGGCAAGAACAATTAATTGCCTGCATTTGGCTCCACCACATAGATTTCTGAACAATCACTTAATAAAAACCGCCAAACCTCTTTCATTTTTAGTAGTTGAATAGGATTCAGTTAGGGTTAACTTGTGTCGTTACCTTAGATTTCGCTATTTAGTACACAGTTTATAAACTGTGTACTAAATACCTTAGTTCAAAACTTTTTCAAATTTATCAACCAGTTTATCTGTGTATTATTGTAACTGATTTATCCAAGCGTTTTACTATTTTGCCATCTAGATATAAATATTTTATTGTTTTATGCATATTCACACTACGCTATATTCGATGACAATATGCCCATAAGTGCTTTCTGCATAGTAACCAGCAAAATAAATCCCAAAGTCATTTATTTCAGCGTCAGTAAACAGCTTACATTTTACTGCATCTAACATTTTGTCAAATGACTGAATGTTTGTCTCTTGTCTTGAGCTTGGAATGTTTTGTGAAATTTACTGTTTTCTTTATTTTTAATTTTCTCCAATTGGACCTAAAAAAAAAGTGTTTTTATTTTGCATTACAAAGTCTTTTTCTTTGGCATAGTCTTTGTATTTAATACGTCATCAGCTATTATAAAAACTGTTTGCCATGTCTGGCATGTATACATTCGAAAGAATGCTTCCACATGCTTTCTTAATGTGTGAGAAAACAGCGACATTACGCCTTGATCATTTCTGCTTTAAAGCACATGGAAAGCCCTGACGAACACTTGCTGCGTAATCTGTGACAGAATCTCAAATTTCACTTAAAATCCTTTTGAAATAACTGAACTATGGGTTTAACTTCTGCACAGTGCAACAGAACCAAACAAAATTTACTGGAACAAAATGTCATTACTCTCCAATCTCATGATAATTGCCAAAAGTGTGTAGCAGATGCCAACTGAACATTAACATTTTGATAAATAGGGACACTAATTCATTCAGAAGTCATTTATTCGGCGTGTTATTGTGTCTTAAAAATAGGGACACTTTTGCAGTCACCAAGCGTAATCTTAACATAAATGGTTACCGTGCATTAACAGAGAAAAATTAAATTTATTATTTAATTAGATAATTTTCCTCAGGTTCATTATCATTAATGAAATTAGTTAGGGAAAGAAAGATAAGAGATTCTACAATTTTTTAAACTTTCAATAATAATGCCAGATGGGTGTTTGCTTACAATATCAATAAATTTTTCAGGTTGTTGGAAATCTTGTCTGAAACTTGCAGAAATTCTTAACATTCTCAGAAAATAAAGTTAATTTTTCAGGTCTAGACTTTATAACTTAAAAATATAGTAGATCATTCCAAGGTTCTGTTGAAGTGAAAGCTAAATAGCAAATACTGCATTTTACTTTATTGGTTAGGAGTTTTGGAATAAAACTAGTTCTATAAGATGAAAATCATACGCACACCAAAAGCAAGCTATTGTAAAATTCTCTGAGTTATCCCAACTTCTCTAGTTGTGATCAGGGGATCACCCATAGTATATTGAGAAAAGCCGGTTAAGTTAGTATATTTCTTACAAGGTCTGTGTATGTTCCCCGTATGGCAAAACTGTGTTCTGCAAAGTTAACTTTCTATAGGGAAAATGTGTTAGGTAAATCTGACTTATAATTTAAATAAACCTAAATATGGTCAAGGGAAAAAAAAAGAGAAATAAATGTTACTTGAAAGGACTCTTTAGTATTGCTTAATAAGCATGTGATAAATAAATAAATATTTTTTTTAAAATAAAGTCTGATTTTTTCCCCCCTGGAACAATGACTAATGTAGATCTTTTAAAGTTTCGTTGTAAAGTTAGGTTAGGTTATTTGATTATAGCAAAAAATACACAGGCTATCTGCCTAGGGGAAGGGGTGCCTACGTGGACGGCTTACTAAGGGAAACTGGCACATATTTATGTTATACATGGAAGAAAATCACGAAAACCAACCATGCATCCAGAATGCTCACCTGGATTCAAACCTAGGTTGAAGCACCAGCATTCAATGGTCTTAACCACTAGTGAGGCATCAAAGCACACAGTTTTTCAATGCCCTCTCATAAAGTGTCTTGGCTTTGGTCATCTGGTCAATCTCCATTGCAAAATGAAACATTTCTTGCCCTTTTTTCAAAGATTCATTTTAACTTCTTGTAAATTAAAGGCGTTTTATCATCTTTATTGCTACTGCTTTCATTGTCTACTGGTGTTAAAAGATCATCCAGTTCTTTATTTATCATTTCTTGATTAATTTTTTGACCTCACTTTCTTCCATATTTGAAAATCCTTCACCACCAGTTGCTTCTGCAATTTGTACAGTTTCTTCAGTCTCATTCTTAATTGATAAAAATCCTTTGAAATTACTGATACATTCTAGCTAGCTTTCAGCACTGATGAATGAACACTGAAGGTTAGGTTCATTCATTATGGGAAGGGATATATGTTGGCTCGTATCCACATAACACAGGGGTAAAAAAAAAAAAAAAAAAAAAAAAAAAAAAAAAAAAAAAAAAAAACAAAAAAAAAAACAAAAAAAAAAAAAAAAAAAAAAAAAAAAAAAAAAAAAAAAAAAAAAAAAAAAAAAAAAAAAAAAAAAAAAAAAAACAAAAAAAAAAAAAAAAAAAAAAAAAAAAAAAAAAAAAAAAAAAAAAAAAAAAAAAAAAAAAAAAAAAAAAAAAAAAAAAAAACAAAAAAAAAAAAACAAAAAAAAAAAAAAAAAAAAAAAAAAAAAAAAAAAAAAAAAAAAAAAAAAAAAAAAAAAAAAAAAAAAAAAAAAAAAAAAAAAAAAAAAAAAAAAAAAAAAAAAAAAAAAAAAAAAAAAAAAAAAAAAAAAAAGAAACAAAAAAAAAAAAAAAAAAAAAAAAAAAAAAAAAAAAAAACAAAAAAAAAAAAA